CATACTTGGGGTGGAAGAAAAGACTGATCAGCAGATGCTGAATCACACTGCCTTTTCTCTTCTGTCCAAACACTGTAATTCTTTGCATTTAAAGAACATGGCTTTCGAATTAGAAACGGTTTCAGATCATATTGAGCTTTCAGTCATGATGACTGACCAGGGGCCAAGATGAATGTTTAAAGATGCATTGAAGAGTGGAATTTCAGAAAGCAAGTCCGTTGGGGTTTTGTTTGGGAGCTGGATGTCTAAGATCTCATGAAAAGAATTGTTTTATATCATTTCAGTTTAGCATTAGGTAATGTCTTCCATTTGTAATTAGATCTGAAGAGGAGATGCTCTGCAGGGAAAGTAGAGATACTGCTGTAAACTGATGTTTGTGACAGCATAGAATCACCGTTAGAGGGCCACTGGATCCAACCCCAAGTTAAAAGCATTTGGGCCCAAGTCAAAGCATCCCTCTCAGATGGCTGTCCAGCTGCATCTTGGATGCCTCCAGTGTGGGAGAGCCCATGAACTCACTATGTCATTGGATCCATTTTTATATTGCCTCAGATTTTTCCTGATGTTTAGCCAGATTCTGGCTTCCTTTAACTTGAGGCTATTATTCCATGTCTTGCACTCCAGGATGATTGAGAAGAGGTCCTGGCCTTCTTCTCTGTGACAGCCTTTTCAAGTACTGGTAGAGTGCTATTATATTTCCCCTCCTCAAGGCTAAACATGCCCATTCTTCCTGTCTCTTCTGGTACCCTGATCATCTTTGTTGCCTTCCTCTGCACTTTTTCTAACTTGTTTGCATCTTTCATAAACTGTGGAGCCCAGAATTGGGGGTAATACTCCAGACGGGACCTAACTGGTGCTGAGTAGAGGGGAACTAATACTTCATGTGATTTGGAAGTGATGTTTCTATTAATGCAGCCCAAAATAGCATTTGCCTTTTCACAGCCACATCACACTGTTGACTCATTCTCATCTTGTGATCTACAAATAATTCTGACATCCTTCTTGTGTGCAGCATTGTTGGGCTAAATATCCCCTGTGCATTTGATTTCTTTTTTTCTTGAGTGAAATAACTCTTTTTGTGTTGTTCATACTGTAGAGATAGTGCTTTTAGCAGATGGATGACCAAAGATTGCTCAAGCCAAATGATGCACTTAGGGAAAATAAAGCAATTATGTACATTCATACATCTTCATTGCTGGTCAGGTCGATTTTAATGAAAGATTAACAACGCTAAATACTGCAGGTGCATGCTTTTGGCTAGAAAATGTTCATTTTTGGATGATTGATTAAGGTTGCTCTGTGCTGAGAAAACATTTGCACCCCAGCCCAGCAAAGCAGATTGGCTGATTATGGAAGAGGCCTTTCTTATGCAGACTCTTGTGGGTGTAGTCACACAGCTGGAGGGCCTCTTTTTGCCTATTGTCATGCTCATCTGACCCCTGGTGAATTGAACAGATACATCTTTTGAACTGGATGGGAATATCAATTCCCTTCAAGGTTGCTGGTGATGCTGCACAAGTAGAACCGGACCAGGTGCCTGTTGCACGGGGAATGTACAACAGACATTATACTTTAAGCAAACTTGGATCTTTGAGGTAGCAGCCCCACCAATGGTAGGAGAATCAGATCTCCATTACCGGGGCTTTAATGCACTGGCTGCAATCCAGAGCAGAACAAAGCAGATTCCCGCAGATGTCTGGGAGCCACCAAGTGAGATGGGGGTGGGGGTGATGAGCAAAAAAGAGAGGCAAAGAAAGGGATCAAGCAACCCGACATATTTCCCTTGCTCCCTACTCCCCACAACCCCCCCCCACCACTTTCCCTGCTGCTTAGATATCACATTTGATGGATGTACTCTACCCACTGTCTGGGTAGAGAACCAAGGGTTGTTCTCAGTCGTATTTGGAAAACATCTGCCCCATTCTTCCATCTAACAAGGCCTTGACAAGATCCATGCAAAGAACCATAATAAAAACTATTTTAAAAAGTTAAACTTATTGAAACAGCAGGTAAAAGCAGTTCATCACTCAGTGAACAAAAACAAAATCCCCCACATGAACACACCTGGAAAGGTAGCCAACCAACAAATAGCAGTTTATGTATAAAATTAAACAAGCACCCTTATATTTAATTATTTGTTCATTCAATGTATGGGTCACCCTATATCCAAAGCTCTTAGCTGGCAGACAGTATTTTTGAAATGCGGAATAAAATCAGTGGCAACATATATTAAAAGAGCTTTAGAAAAGAAGGTGGCAGGAAGAAATTGGGAAAAGAGGTGGCCCAGCACTTTTGGTCCAAGCTTTATCTTTCTCTGGTTTCTGACATGCCCATCCCGACAGAGGAGATGATGGCCCTCAGCAGAAGAAAGGCTGCCCACTTCGGTCCTAATGCTTAAAAGATAACGGACAATATACTTTATTAAACAGAGCTTTGCACACACAGGATACAACATTGATTTGCTTTCTCCTGCTGCAGACAATAGGAACCATTCAATTTCATGGGAAAGAATAAATGTAAGATACTTCTGGGACCCAAGAAAGTGCAGAGCAGTAAAACAAGCAGAATACAGTTTTACTGACATAACTTTAGCATCAACAAACACTTAGCATGAGGACTCTCAGAATCTGTCAAGACAATCTGGTTCAGTGTAGCTTGTTCGGAGATAACATTTGGGTTAGAACTGTGCCAGATTCTTGTGTGACTGTCCTCCTCCATTTTGTGCCCTCCAGATGTGTTGGCCTACAGATCCCATCATCCGCAGCCAGAATGGCAGTAGCTGCAGTCCAATACATCTGGAGAGCACCGGGTTGGAGTAGAATGCTTCAAGTCTTACCTTTTTTGCACAAATCTCCCCAAAATGTACAGTTTATAGGTAGAAATGCATGTTTTGGTCTTTGCTTTTCATTTTTTGAGTTTTTCTACCATTGAATTTGCATAAAAATCTGAAAAGTGAAAAACCGGTCTGTATATCCACAGAATCTGTGTAACTCAGGAAAAACCAATCCACTGCAGAATTCACGGTTGGATTTCTAGAATCCAAACTTATTTGAATTGTTTACAGGTTTGCCCAGCATCCCTATATGGAACCTAAACACTCCAATAAATGCACACCATTACACTGATAAGTATGTCTTATTTGCTTCCTGCTGAGTTTATTTATGAACTTTTTCAATGATGGAGGGAATTCTTCTGTGTCTAATTTCCCTCCAGATGAGTCGGCAGCGTTTCCCTCATCAGCTGCGCTATTCTGTGGCCCTGGAAATGCAAGTTCTAGAATTTAGCAAACTCATTTCATTAGGTACTAATTTCAAGCCTCTGAAAAACAAGAGTAAATCCCAGACTGAGCATATCTTACTTTTCCTCGGTAAAGAAATGGACTAAGAAGTAGATGAAATGACTGGCTGTGGTCGCTTTTTATGTGGCTAACTTTTTCAAAGTTTTTACTCTTTCATAAATCCTTTACAATTGATGCTTTGTTTCAAGCCGCTTTTCACAAACATGATGGAATTCATCACTAACTATTTCCAGTGGACACTGGCCCACTTTCAAAACAAGGGAATAAGTCTGAACAAAAACCGTAGGAGTTATACAGATCAGAAGAACATTTTAATATCATAAGACTATGAAACACAGTCCACAAAGAGAGACTTTAAGAAAAAGTGAAATGTGGATGCCTGTTTCTCTGTCATGAGGCTAAATGGCTGGTAAAAACAATTAAGGTCTGGTATTTGCTAAGGCCTATGTTCTAGCCAGGAGCTCACTCCCAGTGGGTGGGTTCACACATATATTAAGCCACTTTGGCAATCAGCCACAGTGGATTGGTTGTGGTGCAAACAACCTACAGTGTGCCCAACAGACAGTTGTGCTGACCATGAATTTCCCCCCACTGCTTGCCTCCCAGTCCTTCCGCAAGTATCCCATGGGACTTGGCCTTGTCTGTGCGCACTGCACACAATACCTTCCAAACATACAGGACAAGAGGATGGCTAAGGAAGAATATAAGAGGTACCAGTGCTTAGAACATGGGTCCTCAAACTAAGGCCTGTGGGCCAGATCCGGCCCGCCATGCCCTTTTAACTGGGCCGCCCCACAGGTTTTGCACTCGCTGGGCGTGGGTGTGAGCCGGCACACAGCTTGCTCGTGAGGAGGTCATTTTGGACTCGCTTGGAGAAACGATCTCCCCATAAGCAAGCTGGCACCTCGCCATGCGCGCGCCCGGTGGGGGCTTGCTCACGAGGTCATTTTGGACTCGCTAGGAGAAAACGATCTCCTCATGAGCAAGCCGACGCCTCACATGCCCCCGCCCCCGTCCCCACTTTGGCAGCCTGCGGCCACCACTGGCACCTGAGGACCCCTGGCTTAGAACATGGCTTGACCTTCATAATCTTTTGCTTCTCCCAGTGATTAGTGGAACTAGAATAAATTATGCAAAATGAATAAAAGTCCCTGAATCATATGGATTATAGAATTCAGGATTTTGGGATACAGATATAATGGTCGCTAAGTAGATGGGAAGTGGAAGGGAGATATCACCTCTGCTGAATGTGGTGGACATCATGAGATGTTACAAATTTGTGGAAGTCATCTGAAAAGCGTTCTTTTGTGAAAAAGCACCCATTCCTGAGTATCAGCAGAAAGCAATTTTTAAAAAAAGAATATTCAAATGTGAGTTTGTCAGAATCTCTGAATATGAAAATACTTCAGTGTACATTGCGAGTATGGAGGCTCATCTGAGCCCTGCTTAATGGAATAGACTATTATTATGTTATTACTATTAAATGAATGTCCCATCGTTTCCTGCTTGCATTTTTGCATGAAAGAACAGATGTGTGTTCTAATGAAGGACCACTATTATTCATAATTTATTGCTATATCAGCAGGGTTATCAGGGCCATGATGCTCTTGCATCTGAGTGCATTTCAAGTTCTTGCCTTTTGTGAGGCTTATAATCTTTGTTTTTCACTGCTATTGTTTGATGGGTTGTTTAATGATTACAGCTTCTGGCAGACAACTAAGACCAGAGGACACTGAGGCTGATGGAGAGGCTGATGCGGAAGATGATTCTGTGAGTATCAGCCACTGCTTTTACAGCCTCCATTTTGTGTAATTGAAAGGTTACTGGAGTTTCATTTCCTTTATAGCAGGAGCTAAGAACCATTTCCTCCCATGAATTGGAACAGAATCTGCATTACTGCCTAAAAGATTCTGTGGCACCTGACCCAGAACAGTCCTCCCAAAAAATGCTTCATTACTTCCATTTATGATAAATGCTGCTTCAGGCATTCAGGTGCATACTAAATATGATATCATTGTTATTTCATGCCTCTTACGCAGCACATGACTGACACTTACTTGAAACTTATCAGACCCATGAATTCAAACTGTGCCATACTGGTTAGAAAGCCTTTCTGAACAAAAACAATGCCAGCCTCAGATTAGCTCAAACTAGAATTAACATAAAAACTAAGTGTCAGGACTCCATGGCTGAGATTCTCCAACTTATGGATTCATAACACTCTCCATTTCCACATGTTCCTTTGCAATACCTAATTAAAGCGACCTTGCTTTGGCCTGTGTCAGCTGACAGACACCTTGTTCACATGACACAAGAAACCACAATGGGCTGCCATCACGCTTTGTTTCAGTCGCAAGTCATGACAGCCAAGCCTGGAGCATTCTTTCCATCTTGGATTGTTTTCCATTAACAAGCTTCCCTGTGTACCCATGGATTGTTGTTGGGTGGTTCTGGTTGGCTTGTCTGAAGCTGGCATGGCTTCTTTTGATTTGTGAAAATGCATCCATAGATTTAAATGCCAGTAACAAGTCATCCTTCTCAGAAAGGATGCCCAGTTCTGTCCATGACTATGTGCACAGAAGGATTACCCACATGTGCTGATTCTTATGGGTTTGGGAGCGCTGACATGCACATGGACCGCCACCAGCTGCAGGAGTTTCCTGGTGTTGCTCTGTGAAAGGGCAAGTACAAAGGAAATATACCTGCCTTTATCCTCAAGGTCAGTAGTGAGATCCACTCACATATATATGTGCCTGCAACCCATATACATACATATATTTATATATGAGTGTATGTGCATAAAAGGAGATGCTGGCTCCTGTCTTAAATCATGGCTTTGACTCCCTTTCCAAAAATGCTCAAAAACACAGGAAGAGCCTGGGGAGATCAAATCCAAAGTCTGCCTCCTGGTCCAGCATTCTCTTATTGGCAGCAACTAAACAAATGTCTCTTAAAAGCTCAGTATTTTGACATTAAAGCAGGAGACCTCCCTCTTTGTTTAACCCCCCCACAAGTTGGCCATATTGACTCTGAACATGGTTACTTTACCATCATACAGCAAACATTTCTAGCTTATACAATGTCTGTTGAAGAAAAGGGATGTGAAAATGTCAAAGCATTCCCCTCTTCCATGGTCTGCTGTGTAAAACTTGGGGTCTGCATTGTTATAGCTGCTGCTCCAAGGCTCAAGAAGTAACGGAGCACACCTGACGGCTCTTGCTCACTCTGTTTTTGTTCAATTTCTGCAGGTTGATGAAGTGACAACTGAAAATATACGGCCAAGACCACAAGGATCCTCTCCAGTTTACGAGTACTGCATAGAAGACGAGTATTTTAACAAAAAGGCAAGACTTTAAACAAAGGAGTTTCATATTAATCTAATTATTAAATGGCAATTTCTCCTTCCTGTGGAGCTATTGACCCGATTCTTATTGCTTTCTTTAGTCTACTGAAGATAACAGGATAACAAACCTTGAGTGTGGGTTGTGGTTGGAGTGTGGGTTATCATGTTGTCTGAACCCAGCAAAAATAATAAACCATGGTGAATTATTCATAGTTCACAACCCAACAGCAAATCATGGGTTTTCTTTATGAATTGTTTCTGATCAACAAGACATTGTGGCGTAATACAAGTGGATACAGGAAACAGGATAACCCACAGTTCAACAGCAATCTTTATTTCAACAGCCTAATCAATTCATATTCAGTCACTGAGTGTTGATTGATGTGGTCTCTGAACTCAAGCAAAATTGATATTAATTGGTCAATGAAATATCTATTTATTTATTGGACAACTTGTATGCCGCCCCATTTGCATAAGCCTTGGGGCGGCTTCCAATACATAAATAAATATATTTCTAAACAAAATACATAAAATACTGGAGACATCCTAGTAGCGGATTTAAAATCAATAAATAAAGTCAACATTTAAAATAACATTTAAATAAAAAGGTCTTGGCCTGGCGTTGAAAAACAAATAACGACGGTGCCAGGCGGACCTCTCTGGGGGGCGCGTTCCATAATTGGGGCGCCATCGCAGAGAAGGCCTTCCTCTGGATACTCACCCTCCTAATATCTTTCACGGAGGGCTCCCGGAGAAGGGCCTCTGCTGTCGGTCTCGAGCGGGAGGGCACATATGGACGCAGGCGCTCCTTTAGGTAACCAGGTCCCAAGCCGTTAAGGGCTTTTTAGGTGATAACCAGCACCTTGAATAGGGCCCAGACTTCGATGGGAAGCCAGTGAAGCTGTCAGAGGACTGGAGTCATGTGAGCACAACACCCAGTCCCTGTCAGCAACCTGGCAGCTCTATTTTGCATCATCTGAAGTATCCGGACCATCTTCAAGGGCAGCCCCACGTAGAGCACGTTACAGAAGTCTAATCGGGAAGTAACCAATGTGTGTGTCACTGTTGCCAGGCAATCGTTCTCCAGGTAGGGACGCAGCTGATGGATGGATAATAGGTGTTTTCTCTTCCTTCTGCCCCCTGTGCTCCCTTTCCCTGCCCTAAGAGTGTCCTGGGAATGCTATGCGCTGACTCATTTGATTTAATTCTTTCTTCTTTTTGTTGCAGCATTTAACATGAGAAGTTTGGAAGGGGCCTCTCTCAATGCATACACACACATTCCACCCTGAAATTCTGACAGTTGATTTCAGATTTGTACAAAATTCAGGCCTCCACTATGCAATTTGGATAGTTTTTCAAACTGGAGGCACAAATTTTGCACAAATTTCCACTAATAAAAGTACAGAGATCACATTTTAAAATGGAAATCCTAATGCTAAGTGGCAGTGAAGCCACTCTTTCTTCATTTGCCTCTCTGTTTTCTTTCCCCTTCCTTCTCTTGCAATGGGCTGGCACGCAAGGGGCAGATTGCTTTGGCCAGAGGTCTGCTGAGGGCTTCTGAAATTAGGCTGAAGGCTGCATAAAAGTTGTCTCCCTCCGCCAGAGGGCATTCTTTCTCGATTTCAGGAAGGAAAGTTGCCGGGCTGCTAAGAGTGGCCAAGCCAGCAGTGGCAAAAGGATACGTTTCCCTTGTTAAAAAAGGGGTGGGTGGAAAGAAACTCTTGGTCAGCTTGTCTATAAAGGAAAAGCCTATTATTCTTCAATCTCCCCTCTAAAAAAATCTAATATTTGTGGACAGTTCCCACCCCTGCCCCATCCCTAAAAGTACCAAAAATTGGTGGGACCAGTAATGGTCTAATGATAATAGTAACGACTGTAACGCCACCATGAAAACCAAGAACAGCCTATGTTCTGGAATGCCTTGACAAATAGAAGCAACTTTTGCCCAGGGCCCAAATGATAGCATAAAAAGTCGAATCATTTTGCCATGGTATCAAGCACAGAAATTATTTGAAGATACATAGAGGCTACTGACAATATCTGGAACCTGCACTATACACCACAACAGGGGAAGGACATGTTTAAGGGGAATGGTGGGGAAACAATGACCTTTGTATCTTTCCCTCTGCCAGAAACATCTACACACAAGACCTGAACAAGCAATATACAGCTCCTATCCCAGGCTGGTTGGGGCACCCCTTTCAATGGCTGTGGATGCACTGCACCATTTTGTTACAATACACATGTATATAGATTTGCCTTTGAAAGCTGAAGGGGGCTTTTTACTCAATTATTTTCTATGCCTTCATCCACAATGCAAAGTAGTTGTTAAATAATATTATGGGTGAATGATGGATTATCACAGCTTCAAAACACTTGAAATTAATTGTCTGTTTCAATACTTGGCTAATTCACCCAGTCGTTTTAACATAGCTTTGGTTAGTTAGTCTGCCACCCACGTACACATCCACCCAGAGTTAGTGATTTCAGGAGAACAGGTGTCCAGAGAGTTTTGCATGGTGTGTTCAAATCCATCATAGCTGAGCATGAAAAAAATTTGCTTACATTTACAGCTTCAGCAGGATATAGAGAACAGACAAAGAAGGGATTCTTCTATCAAAATGAGTGATTCACAGGTAAGATTAAGTATCTGATAAATGCCAGGTACGCCCTTCAACAAAGAAGAGCATTGTGCTCAAGTTCTTTAAAGTGCACGATGCCTCGCTCTGTCTGGCCATGGAAGTACATGCAACCTCAGTGTACAAATAGGAGCTTTACTGCTACCTGCAGAAGATTACTTCCCCCATTGTTTCAGTTTGTTAGGCTGCACAGGGCCAGTTGATACATGTCATGGGTGTGAAGGATGTCTGTGCAGACAAAAATGAGAGATGGTCCCACTTTCCTTGCCACAAATACAGTAAGTAGCGTGCGACTGAGTATACAAGTAATCACCATCCACACAATTCAAGCGCCACACTGTAAAACAACTAAGAATGGATGGATCATTGGGTGGGACATTTTTGTTTTTGTTACATCTCTGACTTTTAGCAACCTTATGGATAAATTCATAAAGGACCCTGTCATTTACAATCCTGAACAGCTGTAAATTTGAGGCTCTGGCTTTCTTTATGGAATTAAGCCATCCTCATCTTTAGTCTTCGCCATTTTCTTCTGCCTTCGACTTTCCCTAGCATGATTGTTTTCTCCAGGGAGTTTCACCTTCTCCTGATACGCCCGAAGTATTTCAGCTTCAGTTTTGTCCTTTTGCCTTTCAAGGAAAGCTCTGGATTGATTTGACCTAGGACCGACTTGTTTGTCTCTCTGTTGGTCCAGGATACTTGCAAAGCTCTCCTCCGGCACCATGGTTTGAATTTTCTTCCTGTTTTCTTCACTGTCCAGCTTTCACACCCTGACACAGTGATTGAGAATGCAATAGTATTGGATGATCTTGGCCCTGGCCTTCACTGAAATGTCCCTACACATGATTATTTTTTCTGGGCCTTTCATTGATGCCCTTCCATGTCTCAGTCATTTAATTTCTTGGCTGCAGTCTCCCTTTGAATTGATGACTGGGCCACAGTATGCAAAGCCTTTCACAATTTTAATTTCTTCATTAGTAACTTTAAAGCTGTGTTGTTCTTCTGTAGTAATGGTTTTTGTTCTCTTCATGTTACACTGCAATCCTGCTGTTGCACTTTCTTCTTTCACTTTGATCAGGAGTTGTTTCAGTTCATTGCTGCTTTCTGCCATATAGTGTTATCTGCATATCTCAAACCATTAATGCATCTTCTGCCAATTTTTACTCCTCTTCCTTCTGATTCTAATCCAGCTTTCCTTATATGTTCTACGTACAGATTGGACACATAGGGATAAAATGCGCCCTTGATTTTAGCCTTTGCCTGTAGGAAACTATTCTGTTTCTTGTATTCTGTCATAATAATAGTTTCTTGTCCAGATACCAGTTATGCATCAGGACAATCAAGTGCTGAGAAACACCGTTCCCTAGCTTCTCGTGATCCATGCAGTCAAAGTCAATAATACACAGAGCGATCTTCTTCTGAAATTCTTTGGTGCACTCCAATAGCTAGCATGCATCTGCAATATGATCTCAAGTGCCTTTTCATGTTGGAATCCAGCTTGAAAATTGGCATTTCTTGCTCCACATGAAGTAAAATTATTTGTTACAACGCCTCAAGCATCACTTGCATGGGAAATCAGTGCAACGGTCCTATACTTGCTGCACTCCCTTGCATCTCCTTTCCTAGGGATTGGAATGTATTTTGAACTGTGGGACATTCTTTTGTTTTCCACATTTGTTGGCATATTCATGTTAGGATTTGGACTGATTCATTCTCTGCAGCTTGGAATGCTTCTGTTGGTGCCCTGTCTACTCTGGGTGCATTTGAGCCATATTGCCTGTCTAAAGCAGACCACACGCTCCCTAAACTGCTCCCTGGAGAACATCCAACTCTTAGTAAGTGGCAAGGCAACAACCCACTGATTCCTGCCCATCACAGAAGGCTGTGCTGTGCTGAGCTGAAGGCTCTGTACACATCCAGGGGTGTGTTGTATTCTACCCATATATCCACATGCGATCCCAATTCTGTGCCAAGAAATGCTGGATTCAGAAAGCATTGTTTGCACAATTCATTCTACAGTGTTTTCTATTGTAGTCTGGCTTTGCTTGTGATAAGATGGGTATGGACACTGAAGACCCATTCTACACCACCCTAATATTTTTTTCAGTGAGTTTTCTGTTTGCTGAGATTTCAGCAGATATCACCTATATGATAGCAAGCATAATTTTGCAGCCTTAATTGCTAGAAACTTAAAACATACATGCATGTATATGTGGGTGTGCATGTATGTACACATATATTCATACATACATAAAATGAACTAATTAAAATTCTGATTCTTAGAAGGCTGCTGAATTCAGGACCAACTAATATATTCTGTACCTTTCCCACATTCTTGCAGAATTATGACCTACAAAATATCTTCACAGAAACAGAATAGTAGAGTTGGAAAGGTCCTTGATGGCCATTGGGTCCAGTGCCCTGTTGCTGCAGGACACCAGTTTACATCATTCTACTTAGATGACTTGTCTAGTTTCACATTGAATGTGTCTTCTGTGGGAGAGCCCACAACCTCTCTAGACAATTGGTTCTACTGTCGTATTGCTCTGACAATGAGGAAGTTTTTCCTGATATCTAGCCTGAATCTGGCTTGTCATGACTTGAATTGTCCTACACTCTGGTATCAGTGAGAAGAGATCTTGACCTTCCTCTTTGTGACAGCCTTTCGGGTACTTATAGTGGGATAGCTTGCCCCCCTCAATCTTCTCTCAAGGCTAAACATGCCCAGTTCTCTCAGTCTCTCCTCACTGGGCAATATTTCCAAACCCTGGATCATTTTTGTTGGCCTCTTCTAGACTCTTTCTAAGAATGCATCTTTCATAAATCTTGGTGCCCAGAACTGGACACAGTACTGCAGAACTACTAATACTCATGATTTGGAATACTTCTATTAAAGCGTGCAATTGCCATTTTTGCAGCTGCGTCACATTGTTTGCCCATGTACATATCCACAAGCCATGGTTGCCTCTGCCTATTCTACCCATGCTGATCAACTGTTCATTCATAGAGTTGCCATAGGTTGAAGATGACTTGATGGCACATAACAACAATCACCTGCTGCAGGGAGGAGGAGAAAACAGGCCTGAAATCAGCCCCCTGCCCTGAACAGGTGATTGGCACCATCAAAACAGGCAGACCTGACCATATATTCAATGCAACATTGTGTAGTCCTGATATGACTAGAGAAACCACCAATACATGGAAGTCATGGAGGGAGGAGGAACCCAGAAGGCAGTCTGTCCATGCATTCCTCTTGCTAAACTGAGACGCAACCAACCACAGTAATAATTTATCATTCGTGCTGAAGAAAATGTTTTAAATAAATAATTTAATTTGCATGACTGAAACAAGAGTCAGTTGTTTTAAACTGGAAAGACTGCAGTCTGGGCTGCCTGTACAATTTTATCTGACTTTTGAGTGCATGCAAATGAGCAGAATAGTACCAGTGAAGCAGATGTAGTTTTGCTGACTTATGACTGTCAAGGTTAAACTGAATCTGCTGAAGGTAAGGCCAATCTGGAAAGCCAAATTGTGTGGGAAGGTTCACATGCAGATTTGTCACAATGAATCTACCTGTTTATCCAGGTTACGCAGGTGCCTGATATATTTGTGGTAAGGTAGACACCTATGAAATGGAACAAGATATGCAAGTAGCTGAACTGCAACAATTCTATTGAATTATTATATTACCAAGCTCCTAAGTATGCATTCATTTGTCCAAACCAAGAAAATCTGACAATATTCAAAGCATGGGTCATCATGTTATGGTCTCTGGATGAAGGAATGGCCTTAAGAAGCCATTAGTCTTCTGTTTTGATTTTAAACTGAGAGGATTATCCTATGCAAAGGTCACTGCCGAGCTGTTGGGATCCAGATGAAACAGGCCCTAACAACTAAGAATGATTTATTTATTAATGAAAGATAAGTGTGTGAACAACTTCTTAACAGTCTACTGTGTTGTTTATTGGATATGCACCAAAAATTAAATTGTGATAGTTGCATTCGCAGTAATCAGGCCACAAGTTCAGAGCAACACAATCTCCAAACTTTTGCCCTCCGTTTTATGATAAATGACTGTGATCTGAGAGTTAGGAACATCCTATCAAGGATAGAAGGAGCATGGAAACAAAGGTCATCCTTCTCCTGCCCTGTGAAATTGTCTATCCGAGTCCTGTGCTTGCATGGAGAACAGCCTGAGGTGCCATCAGGATGCACTATATTCCAGCAAGCTTCACTTCTCCCTTTCTTGCTCCTCCCCACCCCAGAATCCATAAAACACTGACTCTGGGATCAGTCTTCTCAGAGCCATATATGGTGTGGAAAGAACCATACCAACTACAAGATCAGAGGGAGGATGCACCAAGGATGGAATCCTAGTGCCAACTTTGAAATGTCTTTTCAAGGTCAGAATTAGCATTACAACCTCTCCTGTGGTCAGCTAAACAGCATCCTGCGGTCATAGGACAGCACCCTAAGTTAGTTTTTAAAGGCCAGAGATCACTTTAGCACTGTGTCAAGTGTGGGCAACTTATGACATCACCAGTAGTGAGAGGGATGGGAGTTCTAGGCCAAACCATTTGAAATTCCCACCCCGATCTACATGATGTTCAGAAGTATGCATTTGAGGTGTCTGGTAGGTGATGCTTGTGATGCTATTATATGTGTTGATGTTATGACAGGAACAATTTGAAGTCTTATATACTGATAAGAAATTAGGTTTGATCATATACTTTCGGGACACCTAGGAGCCTATGGAGGTGACCTTGCAAACTGAAGTGGAATCTGGCGCAAGCGGATTTAGTGTGACTGGTGGAGGAGCTGAAGGAATATTTGTGAAACAAGTGCTCAAGGAGTCCCCAGCATCAAAGTTATTCAATCTGAGAGAAGGTATGGTATGGCCTTATGGTATATTCAATTGGTTCATTGGAAATTAACCAATTCATTTCACCAAAAGTTACTTCCAAACCTCAGAAAATATAGTCAAACATAATTATGGGATCGGATTCTGACTGGACATTGCTTTAGGACAAAACCTTTGTGATAGCACATGCCTTTCAGCCATAAAGGAAGCCTTCAGATTTCTACAGAGAAGGGCAAAAGGAGATATATATCTTATAAATGAATGATTGAAAAAAAAATATCAGTAGCTATAGGAGTCATCTACCTAAGGCACAATCTTAAGCATGTTTAAACAGAAAAAATATTCCACGGCATGTCTGGCTGAGGCATACTGGCATGTGTAGGATTTTTTCTGTCTACACATGTATAGGATTGTGTCCTTAGTCAATTTATTTGGAGCTTCTGTTCCAGAAAGGAAACCTTTAGTGGTGTTGATGTATAAATAGTCTGCTGTAGCTCAGCAGTTAGACTATAAAAGCAAATGCACACAAAAATCTTGCTCAGCAGTGCTCATACAAAATTAGGGCAGTTTCATATGACCAGATACAGCCATTCTGTACACCAGAGTGATTCCAACCCCTCTGCTGCCCCAAGCACCTGGGGATGTTTATCTGCCTGCACTTTGTTTTGTGAATGGCTGGATAACAATCCTGCACCCCTAGCTCAGAAGAGTTTTGAACAGAGCCTATGGAATGACCTACATTCAGTATACATGTTCATCAGTTAATCAGTCTGGGCTGCTTGTTATTCCATTGCAAATGGGCCAATCCACTGGGCCATTTTCAGCCATCTAGTTACAGTGTCTCAGAGAGGCATCGAAGGATGCTGGAGCAGCTTCCAGATACCTTGTCTCCTTGTTGCTCCTGTCTCCTCCCCTCTCCACCTCCCAAAATGCCCTCTGTAACTCCTTTCCAAGGTCATATTCCCAACCTTGCAGAGCAGTCCACACCAGCTTCTATGAAACAGGGGAGATAGAACAGAGCACCAGTTCCCCAGCTACAAGGTCAGACTGCTGTCTCCAACCTTGATGCTGGGAATCCAAATTATCCCATGCACCTAAACACATCACAATGCACAAGGGTCATAGGATTGTTTGTTCCAAGTAAGGGAAGCAAGCAGAAAGTGCTAGCATCTTTTGCAGCCATGGAAAGGTCTACAACTGGCTGGGGAATACTGGGAGTCACAGGACATTTTTTAGTCTCACCGTGTATAAGATTACACCTTAACATCAACATTTGGCAAAAGGTCATAAAGGTCATAAGCAATTTGCTGGTCTACCTGTGACTCAAGCCATAATAGTTACCGTATTTTTCTGTGTATAAGACAATACTTTTCCTTAAAAATATTTACCTAAAAATGAAGGGGTGTCTTATACACGGGGGGCCGAGAGGAGAACTGTGGGTGCGCTCGGGGGGGGATACTGGCACAATTATGGGCACATGGGCAGGGGGGCAGCGAGGCGGTGGGCGCGCGCGGGGCAGCAGCTTGCTCGCTTGGAGATCGGTAAGAAAAGTGAGGGGTGGCCTATACATGGGGACATCTTAGAGATGGAAAAATATGTACAGCCAGAATGAAGAAAGGATCTAGAAAACAAGGAGTTACAAACACCAGCTTTTGATGTTAGAAGTACTGTGAATGTTTCTATGAGTACATTGTGGGACCAAGTGCTGGTAACAATAAAATATCAGTTTTAATTTTGCAGTAAGCTACTTTCCACTAGATATTTTACAGCTATGATTTTGAAAGTCCCAGATGTCTTCTGAAGTGCTTCTGTGCACCTTGCAAGCCTGCCCTGAGTCCATGGACATAAAATTGGTGGATGTGTATAATATTTTGCAATTCAATCAGTTTCTCCTACCCCTTTACAGGTGATCAGCTTCTGAGTGCCACAGTCTTTTTTGACAATATCAAATATGAAGATGCACTGAAGATTCTGCAGTATTCTGAACCATACAAAGTACAGTTCAACCTTAAAAGAAAACTCACTGAGAAGGAAGAGGTGGAAAAAATACTTTCTGCAACACAGTCCAAAAAGGAAAAATGGAGCCAGGTAAGGTACAGCTGTGGCATGATCTTTTGGACTAAGATCAAAATATATCACACAGATAATGGGAAATATTAATTTGACCATCAATGTAGAAATCCCTCACATGGAAATAAAATCTCTAATGTCATATTCTTTTAAAAAGCACATTTCTAGACCTCATGGTTGTGAAAATTGGCTTTAAAGTGAAATCTTAGAAACCAAATCAGTGAACAAGCCTACTATGCCTTGTAGAGCTCCTTATCCTTATCAATGACTATCAAAACCAAAATAAATTATGCAAAATAGTAAAAATGGCAAAATGCATCATTTGAAAAATATATACTCACTTGCTTAATCTAAAGAGGTGGGTTTTCTTGGGGCAGAATTTATATTAAGTATTTATCTTCAAGGAGTGCATATGGTTCCCTTTCCCTGCCCCATGTTACATATCTCACTATGCCCAAAAGGTAGATTAAGCTGAGAGAAATGACTTGCTCAAGATCATCTAACTTGATGCACAGCTGCTGGTTTTAGAAAGATATTTTTTTCCTCAAATAATATTATTTAAATTTAGCATGCCATTTGATCTTTGGCTTTCAAGCTGGCTTACAGCTTTGTTTAACAACTATCATTCATAACAAGAAAACAAACACAGTAGCACACCACCAGGAAAAGACAGAACAGCAATACAACCAAATGCTATATACCCCCACCCAAAAATAAAAAAATAAAGACCAGAAAACTGTTTTCATCTAGTGTACACAGTTTTGCACTAGGAAAAAATAACATGAGGGAGTTCCCCACAGCAGGTGCCACTACCAAACAGAGCCTATCCCTTGAAAGCCTTGAACTTTACCTCTGAAAGCATGCCTTTCTGCATGTTTACACAGAAAAAACTCTTGCACCTCTTGGAAGCTTTACTTGGATGACCAGCCATGATATCCTTTGGCTGGTTGCATCCTGCACCAGGTACATACAGAGGAACACTCTGAGAGGAGGGCAGAGTGATGCTGAAGACCAGCCTTACCAAAAAAAGTGGCACTGCTAGACCAAGGGGCCCTGCCCAAGAAGTCCCACACAGATACCGTCCAGAGACGCTTGTAAGCTGTCCAGAGACGACAGTGATGGACAGCCTATAAATGTCCTAAATAAATAAAATACTCCTCACTGCTCCTCCTAATTATTCCCCTTCAGTCTGTGTCCACCACTCCCCACCACGCTCTTTCTTTCTCTGTCACTCTCTCCAAACTTCCTACGCTATTTCTTTCTCTCTGCTTTTTCTTTCTCCCATCCTGGTCCTTGCTCTCCCCATCCTCTCGCCCTTGACGGTGCTCCCCCTCTAACTTTTAGAAAAGGCCTAGTCCACTGCAGAAGAAGCTCCAATTGACCTTAATTTCTGCAGCATGCCTGTGGACCCGGGAGGCCATCTAGAGGATATTTCGAGAAATGAAAATGTCTGACATGAGTGCACCCTTCCCCCCAGCATAGGATATCTGAAGAGCGGACAGACAGACAACCCTGAAGAAAATTGAGAAGGGGAGAGAAAGAAGAGTGCTGGGTGGGGGGAACAAAATGTGAGTCAATGAGGAAGCAAGTGAGCACTAGTGTAGGGTGGAAGTCTATCTATCTATCTATCTATCTATCTATCTATCTATCTATCTATCTATCTATTTATCTATTATAATATTTATATGCCATCCTGTCACGAAGGCCTCAGGACGGCTTACATAAATAAATAAAAAATAATAAAACATAATACAAATGAATTTCAGATCCACCCTGGCTGCAGATTAAAACATATTAAACCAATATTAAAAGTTATTAAAGTATTGTTGGAATAAAAAGGTCTTAACCTGGTGCTGAAAAACAAATAATGATGGCACCAGGCGGACCTCTCTGGGGAGCACATTCCATAAATAAATAAATTTATTTATTTATTTAAATCATTTCTATACCATCTCATACTTAGATGTCTCGGGATGTCTTGCAAGTCTCCAAGCTGCAGGGGCCCATACATCTACCTGCTGGTCCAAACTGAGTAGTACCAGCAGGTCCCTCAAATGATGTCCTCCAAGTATTTTGGCCTACAACTCCTATCAGTCTGGCTTGCATGGCCACTGGTCAGGACTGATAGAAGTTCCAGTCCAAAACATCTAGAAAGCATCGTGTCGGGGAAGGCTATGGAAGGCCAATCTAAAACCACCCATATGCTGTTGTGTGTGATTAAGCCATCTCTTCCTCATAAACACACACAAGGAAAGGTCTTAATCTACAGCCCCAAACTGCAGTAATGCAGAACATGAGCCTCCCACTGCTCGTTGAAGACCTACAACAGGCCTGCAGCCCAATCTCAGTGCTGCCACTGCCATTTTGTTTTCTGGGAAGGAAAGGCCTCCTCCACAACTGCCCTTCTAACCTCAGAATTGAAACCATGTGCTAATGCACTGTTGCACTTCCTCATATTGGCCCAGAGCGTGCAGAGACCTCACCAGTTTACTGCTAGACTTCACCTCTACTTCACCTAGAACTACAGGAAATGGGTTGCTAGATTGGAGTGGGTAACCACTTTTGACAAGGTGAGGACCAATATCACAGAATGTGACAATGTCCTAATAAATAATGAGTAGAAGATCATGACAAAGCACATCTTCTGAGAAAGCCAAAAGCAATGGCAGAAGCCAAAGCAGTATTTAGCCATAACAGGTAGTGCTGTTTTGCACACAATACCTTTTTCAGTATCAAGATAGTTTCCCACAATAGACGCTATTGAGCACTGTGATTCAGTGCACCAAATGTTAACCTTAGATTCAGAAAACTAAACAGAAATTTCACAGAATTGCACATCCTGTAGGTTGAGAGCAAGACTCTACAAGTTTCCTTTCTAACATTACTGGAAACCATATGAGGTGAATGCTGAAGTGATTCTACATTCAGCTGATGGCCTTCTTGGCCCCTTCCAGTCTGGTTTTGTTATGTTAGAGAGAGATCAGTTTTATACAGAGTTGGAAACTTCATGCTAACTATGACCAAGTCTGGATACAATCCAATGCGTTATGTTTTGAAAATAATGTGATAAATACAGATTTCAAGTTCCCCTCAAATTTCCATTTATTTCTGAGGCAGATGGGGAACTATCATTGGTTTGCTTCTCTGTAGCTTCAATTATTTTGCAAATTAAACCATTGCTGCATATATTAAACACATGAAAAAGTAACATGTGAATCTGCACATGGCAATGTGAGAAATGAGAAAGCATTACTAAGGTTACCATTGCTTACTACACATGACAGAGGTACGTACCTTCTTCCCCTCCACCTCTTATTCCAGATTTGCATTGAAAAATAGAGCCTAGGAACATTGTGTCTGGGTTTCAGTGGGAAAAATTATTAAGGAAGATGAGATTAATTTAAATATTGGAAAAAATGATATTATGTGTATACTTGTATTCTTTGCCAGAGTTTGGTCTTTTGAATTGCTGATTCTTCCGGCTTCTTAAAGAATGTGATTTTTATGAAATGTTTACCTTCTTCCTCAAGTCTCATTTCTAATTGTTTGATTTCAGTGTCCCCACATCTGCTAGTACTTATGGTTTAAATGTTCACTGGTAAAACTACACTGAATATTTTTAATGTGGAATTTTAAATTAAAAATCTAGATCATAGCGATCATTTTGGAAATTCTCTTTCTCAGGGAAAAGAAATTCTGGAAATATCAGAGAAGACTATCTCAGAAGAAGACAAAGCAAACTTAATTGTAAAGCAAAGAGTTGGGCGACCAAAAAGAACCAAGAAGGACAGACTCTCCTGGCCAAAATTTCAGTCAATAAAAGGAAAAACTATTTTGGGACATAGGCGATCTCGAAGCACTTCAGATGCATATGAGCAAGCCATTCCAGATGTTTCTCCAACAAGCACAGACACTGAATCACAATTTCAACCAGAAGAAATGCATGTGAAGGCTAAAAAAGGAAGTCAAAAGAAATTAAAATTCCCCAGTATTGGATTCAAGATGCATAAAAATAGACAAGAAACAGAGGGAAGGATAAAATATGATGTAAAACCTCTCACAAAGTATGAAAATGACACTACCCATGAAATTCCAGAACTGATCGAAGTAGCATATGCTACTTCGTGGGATAAAGACAAAAAAGATATAAGTGAAACAAAATTAGAACATCCAGAACTTATGAAAAAATGTCCTGAAGTTGAACTGACTATTAAAAAAACCAAGAAGGAAAAATCCAAACAAACAACTACAAAACCAGAAACTACAATTGTGACCTCACAGATAGGAACATCACAAGCATTTCCAAAGATACGAAAAAAGAAACAGAAGGCATCAAAAGAAAAATTACAATTGGAAATAAAATCAGAGAATGAAAACAAAGAAAATGAAATAAAAAGTGAACTAAAAGATGTAATAACACACATAAAAGAAGACATAAATGTCACGGTACATGCAATTGATGCATCAATACCGACAACACAGGTTTCACTGGAAATGAAAGAACCACACCAAGGTATAGAGGCCCGTACAACTGAGACTGTTCAGAATGGGGGAGAATTCAAGCTGGAAGGAGTGGAAAGCAAATTCAAAATGCCAAAGTTCCAGATGCCCAAGTTTGGAATTTCACTTCCCAAAGGGAAAGGTGCTGCAGAAGGTGAAATCACTGTACCCTCCATGGAAGGAGAGCTAACTAAGCCAGAACTGAAGGACGAAGTGGCGCTGCCTTCTGTCGCTCTTGATGCAGACGGCACGGTTCCAGCAGTTGAGACTGAGGGACTAATTGTGGAAGTGGGCATGGCTGACAAGGGCACGATGAAAATGCCTGATCATAAGATGCCAACTGGGAAAGTCCCCAAACTGAAACCTCCACAAGTGGGCATCTCCCTGCCAAAGGTGGAAGCAGATGTCTCCCTGCCACAGGGAAAAATAGAAGTGCCAGAGCAGGACGTCTCCTTCAAGGCGCCGGAGGCAGAAGGCAGCATTGAGGGCACCGGAATGAAAATCCACATGCCCAAGTTCAAGATGCCCAGCATGCGGTTCTCCAAACCCGAAATCAAAGGGCCCAAGGTGGATGTTGATGTCAGTCTCCCTAAAGTGGATGCCTCTCTTCCGACAGTCGATGTCAGAATTACAAAGCCCGAACTGAAAACAGAGGACATTGCAGCTGGAGTGGGCCTCTCTGCACCTGACATTCGGGTGCCAACAGGACAGGCCCCCGTGGAATTCACAGCTCCAGAACGACATGTGGAGGGGCCGTCCACTGAGATTGCTCTGGACACAGACAAGGTGAAGCTCGAAGGCATGGACAGCAAGTTCAAGATGCCAAAGTTCCACATGCCCAAGTTTGGAGTTTCACTTCCCAAAGGGAAAGCAGCTGCAGAAGGGGAAATCACCCTACCTTCCGTGGAAGCAAGGCTCCCTAAGCCAGAACTGAAGGCTGAAGTGGTGCTGCCCTCTGTCGCCGTTGATGCAGATGGCACAGTTCCAGCAGTTGAGATTGAGGCACCAAGTGTGGAAGTTGGCGTGGCTGACAAGGGCAAGGTGAAAATGCCTGATCTTAAGATGCCGAGTGTGAAAGTCCCGGAACTGAAGACTCCTCAAGTGGGCGTCACCATGCCAAAGGTGGAAGCAGATGTCTCCATGCCAAAGGGAAAAATAGAAGTTCCAGAGGTAGACGTCTCCATCAAGGTGCCTGAGACAGAAGGCAGCATCGAGGGCGCAGGACTGAAATTCCACATGCCGAAGTTCAAGATGCCCAGCATGGGTGTCTCCAAACCCGAAATCAAAGGGCCCAAGGTGGATGTCGACCTCAGTCTCCCTAAAGTGGATGCCTCTCTTCCGGCAGTCGATGTCAGCATGACACAGCCCAAACTGAAAACAGCAGGGATCGGCCTCTCCGCACCTGACATTCAGGTGCCAACGGGACAGGCTTCCGTGGAATTAACAGCTCCAGAAGTACACGTGGAGGGTCCGTCTGCGGAGATTGCTCTGGACACAGACAAGGTGAAGCTCGAAGGCATGGACAGCAAGTTCAAGATGCCAAAGTTCCACATGCCCAAGTTTGGAATTTCACTTCCCAAAGGGAAAGCAGCTGCAGAAGGTGAAATCACCCTACCTTCTGTGGAAGCTGAGCTCCCTAAGCCAGAAATTAAGGCTGAAGTGGTGCTGCCCTCTGTCGCTGTTGATGCAGACATCCCGGTTCCAGCAGTTGAGATTGAGGCACCAAGTGTGGAAGTTGGCGTGGCTGACAAGGGCAAGGTGAAAATGCCTGATCTTAAGATGCCGAGTGTGAAAGTCCCGGAACTGAAGACTCCTCAAGTGGGCGTCACCATGCCAAAGGTGGAAGCAGATGTCTCCATGCCAAAGGGAAAAATAGAAGTTCCAGAGGGAGACATCTCCGTCAAGGTGCCTGAAGCAGAAGGCAGACCTGAGGGCACCGGAATGAAATTCCACATGCCGAAGTTCAAGATGCCCAGCATGGGTGTCTCCAAACCTGAAATCAAAGGGACCAAAGTGGACGTCGACCTCGGTCTCCCTAAAGTGGATGCCTCCCTTCGAACAGTCGATGTCAGCATAACAAAGCCTGAACTGAAAACAAGTGACCTTGAAGCCGGGATCGGCCTTTCTGCACCTGACATTCAGGTGCCAACAGGACAAGCTTCTGTAGACATAACAGCTCCGGAACTACACGTGGAGGTGCCGTCCGCTGAAATTGCTCTGGACACAGAAAAGGTGAAGCTCGAGGGCATGGACAGCAAGTTCAAGATGCCAAAACTCCACATGCCCAAGTTTGGAGTTTCACTTCCCAAAGGGAAAGCAACTGCAGAAGGTGAAATCACCCTACCCTCCGTGGAAGGTGAGCTCCCTATGCCAGAACTGAAGGCTGAAGTGGTGCTGCCCTCTGTAGCCGTTGATGCGGACATCCCGGTTCCAGCAGTTGAGATTGAGGCACCGACTGTGGAAGTTGGCGTGGCTGACAAGGGCAAGGTGAAAATGCCTGATCTTAAGATGCCAAGTGTGAAAGTCCCCAAACTGAAGACTCCTCAAGTGGGCGTCTCCCTGCCAAAGGTGGAAGCAGATGTCTCCCTGCCAAGAGGAAAAATAGAAGTGCCTGATGTGGATATCTCGGTCAAGACCCCTGAGGCAGAAAGCAGCATCGAGGGGACAAGAATGAAAGTCCACATGCCCAAGTTCAAGAAGCCCAGCATGGGGGTCTCCAAACCCGAAATCAAAGGGCCCAAGGTGGAACTCGACGTCATTCTCCCTAAAGTGGATGCCTCTCTTCCAACAGTTGATGGCAGCATAACAAAGCCCGAACTGAAAACAAGTGGCCTTGAAGCCGGGATCGGCCTTTCTGCACCTGACATTGAGGTGCCAACAGGACAGGTGTCCGTGGAGGTCTCAGCTCCAGAACTACACATGGATGTGCCATCTGCTGAGATTGCTCTGGACACAGACAAGGTGAAGCTCGAGGGCACGGATGGCAAACTCAAGATGCCAAAGCTCCACATGCCCAGGTTTGGAGTTTCACTTCCCAAAGGGAAAGCACCTGCAGAAGGTGAAATCACCCTACCTTCAGTGCAAGCTGAGCTCCCTAAGCCGGAACTTAAGGCCGGAATGGCACTGCCATCTGTCACCGTTGATGCAGACATCCCGGTCCCAGCAGTTGAGACTGAGGCACCAAGTGTGGAAGTTGGTGTGGCTGACAAGGGCAAGGTAAAAAAGCCTGATCTTAAGATGCCAAGTGTGAAAGTCCCGAAACTGAAGACGCCTCAAGTCCACATCACCATGCCAAAGGTGGAAGCAGATGTCTCCATGCCAAAAGGAAAAATAGAAGTTCCAGAGGTTGACGTCTCCGTCAAGGTGCCTGAGGCAGAAGGCAGCATCGAGGGCACCGAAATGAAAGTCCACATGCCCAAATTCAAGATGCCCAGCATGGGTTTCTCCAAACCTGAAATCAAAGGGCCCAAGGTGGATGTCGCCGTCAGTCTCCCTAAAATGGATGCCTCTCTTCCAACAGTTGATGTCAGTATTACAAAGCCCGAACTGAAAACAGGTGACCTTGCAGCTGGGATCGGCCTTTCTGCACCTGACATTCAGGTGCCAACAGGACAGGCATCCGTGGAGGTCTCAGCTCCAGAACTTCACATTGATGTGCCATCTGCTGAGATTGCTCTGGACACAGACAAGGTGAAGCTCGAGGGCATGGATGGCAAACTCAAGATGCCAAAGCTCCACATGCCCAAGTTTGGAGTTTCACTTCCCAAAGGGAAAGCAGCTGCAGAAGGTGAAATCACTCTACCTTCCTTGGAATCTGAGCTCCCTACGCCGGCACTGAAGGCTGGAATGGCACTGCCATCTGTTACCGTTGATGCAGACATCCCGCTTCCAGCAGTTGAGATTGAGGGACCGAGTTTGGAAGTTGGCATGGCTGACAAGGGCAAGGTGAAAATGCCTGATCTTAAGATGCCAAGTGTGAAAGTCCCCAAACTGAAGACACCTCAACTGGGCGTCTCCCTGCCAAAGGTTGAAACAGATGTCTCACAGTCAAAGGGAAAAATAGAAGTTCCAGATGTGGACGTCTCCATCAAGGCCCCTGGGGCAGATGGCAGCATTGAGGGAGGTGGAATGAAAATCCATATGCCCAAGTTTAAGATGCCCAGCATGGGTGTCTCCAAACCCGAAATGAAAGGCCCCAAGGTGGATGTCGCCGTCAGTCTCCCTAAAGTGGATGCCTCTCTTCGAACAGGCGATCTTAGCATTACAAAGCCCGAACTGAAAACAGACGGTATTGGCCTTTCCGCTCCGGACATTCAGGTGCCAACAGGACAAGCTTCGTTGGAATTAACAGCTCCGGAACTACACATGGAGGTGCCATCGGCTGAGATTGCTCTGGACACAGATAAGGTAAAATACAAGGGCATGGATAGCAAGTTCAAAATGCCAAAGCTCCACATGCCCAAGTTTGGAGTTTCACTTCCCAAAGGGAAAGCAGCTGCAGAAGGTGAAGTCACACTACCTTCCATGGAAGCTGTGCTCCATAAGCCGGAATTGAAGGCCGGAATGGCACTGCCATCTGTCACCTTTGATGCAGACATCCCAGTTCCAGCAGTTGAGATTGAGGCACCGAGTGTGGAAGTCGGCATGGCTGACAAGGGCAAGGTGAAAATGCCTGATCTTAAGATGCCAAGTGTGAAAGTCCCCAAGCTGAAGACTCCTCAAGTGGGCGTCTCCCTGCCAAAGGTGGAAACAGATGTCTCCCTGCCAAAAGGAAAATTAGAAGTTCCTGATGTGGACATTTCGGTCAAGATGCCTGAGGCAGAAGGCAGCATTGAGGGCACGGGAATGAAATTCCACATGCCCAAGTTCAAGATGCCCAGCATGGGTGTTTCCACACCCGAAATCAAAGGGCCCAAGGTGGAACTCGATGTCAGTCTCCCTAAAGTGGATTCCTCCATTCCGACAGTTGATGTCAGCATTACAAAGCCAGAACTGAAAACAGGTGACCTTGCAGCCGGTATCGGCCTCCCCACACCAGACATTCAGATGCCAACAGGACAGGCCTACATGGAGGACTCAGCTCCAGAAGTACACGTGCAGGGGCCGTCTGCGGAGATTGCCCTGGACACAGACAAGGTTAAGGTCGAAGGCATGGACAGCAAGTTCAAGATGCCAAAGTTCCACATGCCCAAGTTTGGAGTTTCACTTCCCAAAGGGAAAGCACCTGCAGAAGGTGAAATCACCCTACCTTCTGTGGAAGCTGAACTCCCTAAGCCAGAACTGAAGGCTGAAGTGGTGCTGCCCTCTGTCGCTGTTGATGCAGACATCCCGGTTCCAGCAGTTGAGATTGAGGGACCGAGTGTGGAAGTTGGCGTGGCTGACAAGGGCAAGGTGAAAATGCCTGATGTTAAGATGCCAAGTGTGAAAGTCCTCAAACTGAAGACTCCTCAAGTGGGCGTCACCATGCCAAAGGTGGAAGCAGATGTCTCCATGCCAAAAGGTAAAATAGAAGTTCCAGACGTAGACGTCTCCGTAAAGGTGCCTGAAGCAGAAGGCAGCATTGAGGGTACCGGAATGAAATTCCACATGCCGAAGTTCAAGATGCCCAGCATGGGTGTCTCCAAACCTGAAATCAAAGGGCCCAAGGTAGACGTTGACCTCGGTCTTCCTGAAATGGATGCCTCTCTTCCAACCGTAGATGTCAGTATTACAAAGCCCGAACTGAAAACAGGTGACCTGGCAGCTGGGATCAGCCTCTCCACACCAGACATTCAGATGCCCACAGGACATGTTTCTGTGGAATCAACAGCTCCAGAACTACACATGGATGTTTCATCTGCTGAGATTGCTCTGGACTCAGACAAGGTGAAGCTCAAGGGGATGGACAGCAAACTCAAGATGCCAAAGGTCCACGTACCCAAGTTTGGAGTTTTACTTCCCAAAGGAAAAGCAGCTGCAGAAGGGGAAGTCACCCTACCTTCTGTTGAAGGAGAGCTCCCTATGCCGGAACTGAAGGCTGAAATGGCACTGCCAACTGTCACCGTTGATGCAGACATCCCAGTTCCTGCAGTTCAGATTGAGGGACCGAGTGTGGAAGTTGGTGTGGCTGACAAGGGCAAGGTAAAAAAGCCTGATCTTAAGATGCCAAGTGTGAAAGTCCCGAAACTGAAGACTTCTCAAGTGGGCGTCACCATGCCAAAGGTGGAAGCAGATGTCTCCATGCCAAAAGGAAAAATAGAAGTGCCAGAGGTGGACGTCTCTGTCAAGGCGCGGGAGGCAGAAGGCAGCATTGATGGCACTGGAATGAAAATCCACATGCCCAAGTTTAAGATGCCCAGCATGGGTGTCTCCAAACCTGAAATCAAAGGCCCCAAGGTGGACGTCGACCTCAGCATCCCTAAAGTGGATGCCTCTCTTCGAAAAGTCGATCTCAGCATTACAAAGCCCGAACTGAAAACAGCTGGGATCGGCCTTTCCGCCCCTGACATTCAGGTGCCAACAGGACAAGCTTCGTTGGAATTAAGAGCTCCAGAAGGACACATGGAGGTGCCATCTGCTGAGATTGCTCTGGACAAAGATAAGGAAAAACTGAAGGGCATGGATGGCAAACTCAAGATGCCAAAGCTCCACATGCCCAAGTTTGGAGTTTCACTTCCCAAAGGGAAAGCAGCTGCAGAAGGTGAAGTCACACTACCTTCCATGGAAGCTGAGCTCCATAAGCCGGAACTGAAGGCCGGAATGGCACTGCCATCTGTCACCGTTGATGCAGACATCCCGCTCCCAGTAGTTGAGATTGAGGCACCGAGTGTGGAAGTCGGCATGGCTGACAAGGGCAAGGTGAAAATGCCTGATCTTAAGATGCCAAGTGTGAAAGTCCCCAAGCTGAAGACTCCTCAAGTGGGCGTCTCCCTGCCAAAGGTGGAAGCAGATGTCTCCCTGCCAAAAGGAAAAATAGAAGTTCCTGATGTGGACATTTCGGTCAAGATGCCTGAGGCAGAAGGCAGCATTGAGGGCACGGGAATGAAATTCCACATGCCCAAGTTCAAGATGCCCAGCATGGGTGTTTCCACACCCGAAATCAAAGGGCCCAAGGTGGAACTCGATGTCAGTCTCCCTAAAGTGGATGCCTCCCTTCCGACAGTTGAAGTCAGCATTACAAAGCCCGAACTGAAAAGAGGTGACCTTGCAGCCGGTATCGGCCTCACCGCACCAGACATTCAGATGCCCACAGGACAGGCCTCCGTGGAAGTCTCAGCCACAGAACTGCACGTGGAGGGGCCATCCACTGAGATTGCTCTGGACACAGACAAGGTGATGGTCGAGGGCATGGACAGCAAGTTCAAGATGCCAAAGTTCCATATGCCCAAATTTGGAGTTTCACTTCCCAAAGGGAAAGCACCTGCAGAAGGTGAAATCACCCCACATTCAGTGCAAGCTGAGCTCCCTAAGCCAGAACTGAAGGCTGAAGTGGTGCTGCCCTCTGTTGCCGTTGATGCAGACATCCCGGTTCCAGCAGTTGAGATTGAGGGACCAAGTGTGGAAGTCAGCGTGGCTGACAAGGGCAAGGTGAAAATGCCTGATCTTAAGAAGCCAAGTGTGAAAGCCCCCAAACTGAAGACGCCTCATGTCCGCGTCACCATGCCAAAGGTGGAAGCAGATGTCTCCGTGCCAAAGGGAAAAATAGAAGTTCCAGAGGTAGACGCCTCCGTCAAGGTGCCTGAAGCTGAAGGCAGCACTGAGGGCACCGGAATGAAATTCCACATGCCGAAGTTCAAGATGCCCAGCATGGGTGTCTCCAAACCTGAAATCAAAGGGCCCAAGGTGGATGTCGCCGTCAGTCTCCCTAAAGTGGATGCCTCTCTTCCAACAGTTGATGTCAGCATTACAAAGCCCGAACTGAAAGCACCCGGGATTGGCCTCTCCGCACCTGAAATTCAGGTGCCCACAGGGCAGGCCCCCATGGAAGTTTCAGCTCCAGAACTGCACATGGAGGGGCCGTCCGCTGAGATTGCTGTGGACACAGAAAAGGTGAAGCTCGAAGGCATGGACAGCAAGTTCAAGATGCCAAAGTTCCACATGCCCAAGTTTGGAGTTTCACTTCCCAAAGGGAAAGCAGCTGCAGAAGGGGAAATCACCCTACCTTCAGTGCAAGCTGAGCTCCCTAAGCCAGAAATGAAAGCTGAAATTGTGCTGCCCTCTGTAGCCGTTGATGCGGACATCCCGGTTCCAGCAGTTGAGATTGAGGGACCGAGTTTGGAAGTTGGCGTGTCTGACGAGGGCAAGGTGAAAATGCCTCATCTCAAGATGCCAAGTGTGAAAGTCCCCAAACTGAAGACTCCTCAAGTGGGCGTCACCATGCCAACGATGGAAGCAGATGTCTCCATGCCAAAGGGAAAAATAGACGTTCCAGAGGTAGACGTCTCCGTCAAGGTGCCTGAGGCAGAAGGCAGCATCGAGGGCACTGAAATGAAAGTCCACATGCCCAAGTTCAAGATGCCCAGCATGGGTTTCTCCAAACCTGAAATCAAAGGGCCCAAGGTGGATGTCGCCGTCAGTCTCCCTAAAGTGGATGCCTCTCTTCCAACAGTTGATGTCAGCATTACAAAGCCCGAACTGAAAGCACCCGGGATTGGCCTCTCCGCACCTGAAATTCAGGTGCCCACAGGGCAGGCCTCCATGGACGTTTCAGCTCCAGAACTGCACATGGAGGGGCCGTCCGCTGAGATTGCTGTGGAAACAGGCAAGGTGAAGCTCGAGGGAATGGACAGCAAGTTCAAGATGCCAAAGTTCCACATGCCCAAGTTTGGAATTTCACTTCCCAAAGGGAAAGAAGCTGCAGAGGGTGAAATCACCCTACCTCCCGTGGAAGCTGAGCTCGCTAAACTGGAACTGGAGGCTGGAATGGCAGTGCCATCTGTCGCCGTTGATGCAGACATCCCAGGTCCAGCAGTTGAAATTGAGGGACCGAGTGTGGAAGTTGGTGTGGCTGACAAGGGCAAGGTGGAAATGCCTGATCTTAAGATGCCAAGTGTGAAAGTCCCCAAGCTGAAGTCACCTCAAGTGGGCATCACACTGCCAAAGGCGGAAGCAGATTTCTCCATGCCAAAAGGAAAAATAGAAGTGCCTGATGTGGACATTTCGGTCAAGATGCCTGAGGCAGAAGGCAGTATTGAGGGTGCTGGAATGAAAATTCACATGCCCAAGTTCAAGATGCCCAGCATGGGTTTCTCCAAGTCCAAAATCAAAGGGCCCAAGGTGGACGTAGACGTCAACCTCCCCAAAGTGGATGCCACTCTTCCGGCAGTCGATGTCAGCATTGCAAAGCCCGAACTGAAAACAGGTGACCTTTCAACCGGGATTGGCCTCTCCACACCTGACGTTCAGGTGCCCACAGGACAGGCCTCCATGGAAGTTTCAGCTCCAGAACTACACATGGAGGGGCCGTCCGCTGAGATTGCTTTGGACACAGACAAGGTGAAGCTCGAAGGCATGGACAGCAAGTTCAAGATGCCAAAGTTCCATATGCCCAAGCTTGGAATTTCATTTCCCAAGGGGAAAGCAACTGCAGAAGGTGAAATCACCCTACCCGCCGTGGAAGCTGAGCTTCCTGTGCCAGAACTGAAGGCCGACGTGGCACTGCCCTCTGTCACTGTTGATGCAGACATCCCAGTTCTAGCAGTTGAGATTGACGCACCGACTGTGGAAGTTGGCGTGGCTGAAAAGGGCAAGGTGAAAATGCCTGATCTTAAGATGCCAACTGGGAAAGTCCCCAAACTGAAGGCTCCTCAAGTGGGCGTCTCCCTGCCAAAGGTGGAAGCAGATGTCTCCCTGCCAAGAGGAAAAATAGAAGTCCCAGAGGTGGACGTCTCCGTCAAGGCACCTGAGGCAGAAGGCAGCATTGACGGAGGTGGAATGAAAATCCACATGCCCAAGTTCAAGATGCCCAGCATGGGTTTCTCGAAACCCGAAATCAAAGGTCCCAAGGTGGATGTCGATTTCAACCTCCCCAAAGTGGATGCCACTCCTCCAGCAGTCGACATCAGCATTACAAAGCCCAGCCTACAAACAGGTGACCTTGCAGCTGGAATCGGCCTCTCCACACCTGACATTCAGGTGCCCACAGAACAGGCCTTCGTGGAAGTCTCAGCTCCAGAACTACATGTGGAGGGGCCGTCTGCTGAGATTTCTCTGGACACAGACAAGGTGAAGCTCGAAGGTACGGGCAGCAAGTTCAAGATGCCAAAGTTCCACATGCCCAAGTTTGGAGTTTCACTTCCCAAAGGGAAAGCAGCTGCAGAAGGTGAAATCACCCTACCCTCTGTGGAAGGTGAGCTCCTGATGCCGGAACTGAAGACTGAAGTGGCGCTGCCCTCTGTCACTTTTGACACAGATGTCCCGGTTCCAGCAGTTGGGATTGAGGGACCGAGTGTGGAAGTTGGCATGGCTGACAAGGGCAAGGTGAAAATGCCGGATCTTAAGATGCCAAGTGTGAATGTCCCCAAACTGAAGGCTCCTCAAGTGGGCGTCTCCCTGCCAAAGGTGGAAGCAGATGTCTCCATGCCAAAGGGAAAAATGGAAGGGCCAGAGGTGGATGTCTCCGTCAAGGCACCTGAGGCAGAAGGCAGTATTGAGGGTGTTGGAATGAAAATTCACATGCCCAAGTTCAAGATGCCCAGCATGGGTTTCTCCAAGTCCAAAATCAAAGGGCCCAAGGTGGACGTAGACGCCCACCTCCCCAAAGTGGATGCCACTCTTCCGACAGTCGATGTCAGCATTGCAAAGCCCGAACTGAAAACAGGTGACCTTTCAACCCGGATTGGCCTCTCCGCACCTGACATTCAGGTGCCCACAGGACAGGCCTCCATGGAAGTTTCAGCTCCAGAACTACACATGGAGGGGCCGTCCGCTGAGATTGCTGTGGACACAGACAAGGTGAAGCTCGAAGGCATGGACAGCAAGTTCAAGATGCCAAAGTTCCACATGCCCAAGTTTGGAGTTTCACTTCCCAAGGGGAAAGCAACTGCAGAAGGTGAAATCACCCTACCCTCCGTGGAAGCTGAGCTTCCTGTGCCAGAACTGAAGACCGACGTGGCACTGCCCTCTGTCACTGTTGATGCAGACATCCCAGTTCTAGCAGTTGAGATTGACGCACCGACTGTGGAAGTTGGCGTGGCTGAAAAGGGCAAGGTAAAAATGCCTGATCTTAAGATGCCAACTGGGAAAGTCCCCAAACTGAAGGCTCCTCAAGTGGGCGTCTCCCTGCCAAAGGTGGAAGCAGATGTCTCCCTGCCAAGAGGAAAAATAGAAGTCCCAGAGGTGGACGTCTCCGTCAAGGCACCTGAGGCAGAAGGCAGCATTGACGGAGGTGGAATGAAAATCCACATGCCCAAGTTCAAGATGCCCAGCATGGGTTTCTCGAAAGCCGAAATCAAAGGTCCCAAGGTGGATGTCGACCTCAACCTCCCCAAAGTGGATGCCACTCCTCCAGCAGTCGATGTCAGCATTACAAAGCCCAGCCTAAAAACAGGTGACTTTGCAGCTGGAATCGGCCTCTCCACACCTGACATTCAGGTGCCCACAGAACAGGCCTTCGTGGAAGTCTCAGCTCCAGAACTATACATAGAGGGGCCATCTGCTGACATTGCTCTGGACGCAGACAAGGTGAAGCTTGAAGGCATGGACAGCAAGTTCAAGATGCCAAAGTTCCACATGCCCAAGTTTGGAGTTTCACTTCCCAAGGGGAAAGCAGCTGCAGAAGGTGAAATCACCCTACCCTCTGTGGAAGGTGAGCTCCCTAAGCCAGAACTGAAGGCTGAAGTGGTGCTGCCCTCTGTCACTGTTGATGCAGACGGCACGGTTCCAGCAGTTGAGATTGAGGGACCGAGTGTGGAAGTTGGCGTGGCTGAAAAGGGCAAGGTGAAAATGCCTGATCTTAAGATGCCAAGTGTGAAAGTCCCGGAACTGAAGACTCCTCAAGTGGGCGTCACCATGCCAAAGGTGGAAGCAGATGTCTCCATGCCAAAAGGAAAAATAGAAGTGCCAGAGGTGGACGCCTCCGTCAAGGTGCCTGAGGCAGAAGGCAGCATTGAGGGATCTGGAATGAAAATCCACATGCCCAAGTTCAAGATGCCCAGCATGGGTTTCTCTAAGTCCAAAATCAAAGGGCCCAAGGTGGACATAGACGCCCACCTCCCCAAAGTGGATGCCACTCTTCCGGCAGTCGATGTCAGCATTACAAAGCCTGAACTGAAAACTGGTGACCTTTCAGCCGGGATTGGCCTCTCCGCACCTGACATTCAGGTGCCAACAGGACAGGCCTCCGGGGAAGTCTCAGCTCCAGAACTACACGTGGAGGGGCTGTCTGCTGAGATTTCTCTGGACACAGACAAGGTGAAGCTCGAGGGAATGGACAGCAAGTTCAAGATGCCAAAGTTCCATATGCCCAAGCTTGGAATTTCACTTCCCAAAGGGAAAGCAGCTGCAGAAGGTGAAATCACCCTACCCTCCGTGGAAGGTGAGCTCCCTATGCCAGAACTGAAGGCTGAAGTGGTGCTGCCCTCTGTCGCTGTTGATGCAGACATCCGGGTTCCAGCAGTTGAGATTGAGGGACCGAGTGTGGAAGTTGGCGTGGCTGAAAAGGGCAAGGTGAAAATGCCTGATCTTAAGATGCCAACTGGGAAAGTCCCCAAACTGAAGGCTCCTCAAGTGGGCGTCTCCCTGCCAAAGGTGGAAGCAGATGTCTCCATGCCAAAGGGAAAAATAGAAGTCCCAGAGGTGGACGTCTCCATCAAGGCACCTGAGACAGAAGGCAGTATCGATGGCACCGGAATGAAAATCCACATGTCCAAGTTCAAGATGCCCAGCATGGGATTCTCCAAACCCGAAATCAAAGGACCCAAAGTGGATGTTGACGTCCACCTCCCCAAAGTGGATGCCACTCTTCCGGCAGTCGATGTCAGCATTGCAAAGCCCGAACTGAAAACAGGTGACCTTTCAACCGGGATTGGCCTCTCCGCACCTGACATTCAGGTGCCCACAGGACAGGCCTCCGTGGAAGTCTCAGCTCCAGAACTACATGTGGAGGGGCCTTCTGCTGAGATTTCTCTGGACACAGACAAGGTGAAGCTCGAAGGCATGGACAGCAAGTTCAAGATGCCTAAGTTCCACATGCCCAAATTTGGAGTTTCCCTTCCCAAAGGGAAAGCAGCTGCAGAAAGCGAGATCACTATTACCTCCATGGATGGTGAGCTCTCCACGCCAGAACTGAAGGCCGAAGTGGCGCTGCCCTCTGTTGCCATTGATGCTGATATTAAGGGGGACCCTTCTGTTGTTGACAGTGAATCATCAGTGTGGAAGATCTCTATGCCCTCGTTTAAGAAATCTAAGATGTCTAAAGGTGATATTAAAACACCAAAGCTGGACATTGGCCTCCCAATCATGGATGCTGAAGTTTGTAAAGCAGAGATAGATTTGCCGTGCTCTGATGATGCTGATGATGGTGGTGATTTGGATGTGCACTGGGGAGATGGTTCTTTATCTTCACAAAATCTGGCTAAGAAGAAAGGTAGTAAGTTTAAAATGCCTAAATTTAACATACCATCTTTTGGCAAGTCCAGCTCTTACAAGACTGGTATTATGACTGAACCACCTGATTTGTTGGTTTCTCCTGCTGGAATTGATGGTGATGTAGTTTTGTCTGGAATTGGAACTATTAGTCCACCCGTGGAAATTGATAGTCAGTCATCTGCTTGTGGAGCAGGAGACCTATCCCAAGGAATTATTCCTGAAAGCACCATGGATGTTCCTGAATCTCATGGTCGTTTAGGGGGGATAAGTGTTACCTTGCCTAGATTTCATCTTCCTAATCTGGGTTTTTCAAAGGTGGAGGTAACTCCTAAAATTGATGTCAGTGAAAATATAGCAGATAAGGATGTCACTCTTACCAGTTATCATATGACTTCTCAAGAATCAGAACAGGAACTTGGAGATGAAGTTGTAAATTTGCCAGAAGTGGAAAGTAAATCTGAAATGACTATCCATGGTCCAAATATAGAAGCTGAAGGCATGTCAGCTGATATTGTTTCCAGTGCAGCTGAAATTAGTGTTGATGGTTCAAAGGGGAAGAGTAAAATGCCAAGATTTCAAATGCCAAAGTTTGGATCATCACGAGTTAAAGTGCCAGAGAGTAAAATTAGTGTACGCCAAGTTGCAACTGACATTCCTGACATAGATACTGATGTGCAAGTTTTGGATATCAAAAAATCTGAAATTCTTGATGTAGAGGCAGATGTTTCAGGCCTAAAAATGGAAATTACATCAGTTAAGGGCCCTCAAATCCTAAGGGCTGATACTAAAACATCACAGATAGATGTTGTCTTTCCTTCAGTACCAGAATCAAGGATTGATATCCAGGGACCAGATTTAGATAGCAAAGATATAATACGTGAAAGTGATGAAAAGGATACTCTAGAAAAAGAAAGTAAATTTAGGATGCCAAAATTCAAGCTACCATCATTCAGCTGGTCTCCGAAAAAAGAAGCAAGTGTTTCCACTGATACTGATGTGAACTTTGAAGAACCCTCAGTTTCACTTTCAACAAGTGAAATAGAATCTGAATTAACACTCACTGTAGAGGATGTTGAAGGCCAAACAGAAGAATTGGAGGTTCATATGTCTATTGATAAAGATAGTGAGAGAACCAGAAGGCCTCAGTTTAGCATGCCTAAAATATCCCTTCCAAAAATGAAAGGCCATAAAGCTGACATTTCAATGTCACAAGTGGACACTGACATGGCCATGTCTACCTCTGAGGAAGCAGGGGACATTTCACCACAAATATCAGAAAAAGACATCAGTAGTGGTGATGCTAGAAGAGGCATTAAAATGCCCAAAGTTAAACTTCCAAGTGTAGAGCTTTCCAAACCAGAAATTAAAGCTCCCAAAGTGGACATGGAATCCAGCTTAACTAAAAGTGATACCAAAGTTCCTACACTTGATGACAGTTTTTCAAAAGCAGAATTAAAAATAACTGATGTTGCTGATGAGATTAATAAATCCACAGGAGAAATTAAGGTCCCTACAGTGAAAGGCCTAGAAATAAAAGTGGAAGGACCATCCACTGAAGTATCTGTAGATGGATCAGAGATTAAAACTGAATGTGTAGATGGAAAGATAAAAAGGCCAAAATTCCAAATGCCTAAATTTGGAATTTCATTTTCTAAGGGTAAAGTTCCGGACACTGATGTTAATTTACCATCTGAGGACACTGATACTGCCCAGCTGAAAACTACCACAGATATTGCCGATATTGCTGTGGAAGCTCCAACATTTGAAGCAGAGTATGATATTGTTGATACAGAAAAAACTATTGTGGAAGGGAAAATTAAGATGCCCCAGATTCCTAGTGCTGACATCAAGACTCCAGCACTGGACCTAAAATTCCCTTCAGTTGGCTTTTCTGTGACACAGCCACAGCAAGAGACTCAAGAGTCAGATGCTAAAGCTGAAGAAGCAAAATTAGAGAAAACAATGAAGAGTGGAAGTTTAGATTCAGAAGAGAAGGAAAGCCATTTCAAAATGCCAAAATTCAAATTGCCATCATTTAATTGGTCCCCTAAAAAAGAAGCAAGCCTTAAAACCAATATAAAAGAACCTCTGGAGGAACCTAATCTAAATATATTGTTGGATGATACTGATATCGAAGCAAAAGTGATTCTACCAGAAGATCAAGAAATCCACATGGAACAAGATATCGAAACATCCACAAAAAAGGGGCAGGTGAAAAGGCCTCATTTTACTATGCCCAAAATTTCCCTTTCTCGGACAAAACTTCCAAAATCACAAGGCAGCCTTCCTAAAGTAGAGGCTGATATTACCATGGAAAGAGATGGAGCTTTGGTACAAATACCGGACATAGAAAGTAGTTTTACCACAAGAAAAGAAGATGAAACTGAAATAAGCATTAAAATGTCAAAGGGCATATCAAAAGTAGAAGTCAAATCTCCCCAAATAGATACAAATGTTAACTTACCAAAACCTGATATTAAGGTGCCCATAATCAGTAGTTCATTTGAGCAGAAGAGTTCAGAAAAAGAATTTGAAGATGAAATTGATATGGATAATGCAAGTACAAAAAAGGATGGCATGGAGGGAAAGATTAGAATGCCAAAACTCCAAATGCCAAAGTTTGAAATTTCAGTTTCTGAATGGAAATTGCCAGAGAGTGGCATCACTCTACCAAAAATGGAAGCTGAAGTTTCCCAGCTACAAGTGACAACAGAAATAGAGAGACTTGATGGAGAAGCCCCAACCTCAGAAGCTGAAAGCATTAATGCAGAAATGAAGGTTTCAACTGAAAAAAATAAAATGACACAAGCGCCTGGAGTCGAAATTGAAGTACCTGGCATGTCTGTTTGCAGCACTGATGAGAAGGATATAAAAGTACAAGGAGAACACAAAACAATGTCTGGAGAAATTCAGACCGAGGAGTCTCAGGGTTGGTTTAAAATGCCAAAGTTCAGGATGCCTTCATTTGGTCGATCATCCTCAAAAGGGAAAAAAGGTGATGCTGAAGTTGAAAGCAGCACTGGAAAAGCTCCTGTCGCAGAAGGAGAAAGTGAAACAAAAGGTCTTGAAACTGTAATCCAGTCTTCCCATGTAGATATAGGATCACATTTTGAAAAGGATGTTTTAGAAGGCAAAGTCATGTTTCCTCAAGAAGAGATTACAGAAGGTGGCATATCAGTACTGAAAGAAAAGGTATCTGGCTTAGGTATATTAGAGAGTGAAGGCCGTCTTTCAGAAGCCCCAGGAAAAGCAGACAGTAAATTAAGTGCCCTGGGGTTTAAAACATATGCTGACGTAGTCAAACATGGTGCTGAAGGAGAGAGTTTACAAATGCATACACCCATTTTATCTGTCCCTACATCAGAAAACAATGTACCAAAAATGGATGTTAATATCACTCTCCCTAAATGTGAGGTGACACTTCAAGGACACAAAGCCAAATTAGACAGCATAACAGTGGTTGAGGCATCATCAACTGAAATGACTGTGGACAAAACAGAGAAGAAAATTGATGCTGATGTTGGTGAAGCACAGGCAGTTATGCAAGACTCCGATACAGTAGCAAAAACTGAAAAAACAGAGAAACAACTGAAATTACAAAGAAAGGATACCCAAGGAAAAGAAAGCATATTCAAAATGCCAAAGTTTGGCATGCCTTCGTTTGGGTGGTCCACCACAAAGAGCACTGGCAATGTTGCTGATGTGATATCTGGGCTGGAAGAGTCTGATGTTGTCCCTTCAGAAGTTAAAATGGATGATTCAGTTGCTGATGAAGACTTTGAAATAATAGACTTCCCATCCGAAGGCTTTGAAAAAGATGCATCCACCGAAAGTGAAATGAAGGCAGAAGAGAGAGATGGCTCAAGTAAAACGAAAGCATCCAAATTCAAGATGCCAAAGTTTGGCAGTCTACATAGCAAATCACGGGGTTCAGACATCCATGCTGATGCACCAAAGATAGAGACTGAGGTGTCAATATCAAAAACTGAAGGAGAGAGATTCAAAACCGAAGCTCTTCAAAAAGCAGAAGGGTCTGTTGATGTAAAGAGTCTAACATTAGATTTTACAGGAAAACCAGTAGACCTCATGGACAAACAGTTTGAGGATTCAGAACTACGTTTTCAAATTCCCAAATTTAAAATGCCCAAATTCACACATAGCACATCTGAAGCTGAAGGACAACTTGTGATTTCAGAAGGAGCAACAGATATGAAATGTGCTGCTACTGATCCTGATGGTGCACCTCAATCAGAATTCAGAACTACATTCCTTGAAGAGAAAGCAGAAGATTCAGGTTATAATATCCAGAAATCTAAAGTCAGGATTACAACACTATCTGAACCTGCCATTCAAAGAGCACAAATGGACTCTGGAGACTCTTCTTTTATAGAGAAAACAGTACACATACCGAGGCCAGTGGAATTCAGCACTGCATTTCCTGCAGGTAACATAGACGCCATGGATGGTAAAATCCAGAAGTCAATAGCTAAAATTACAACACTGACTGAACCAGACATTCAGACAACACAATTTGAGATTAAACTCCCATCAGTTGATTCATTTGTTCCAAGTACACCAATGCATGCTCAACAACAATACCTTGAGCATAAAGAAGTAAAGATACAAGGTAAATCCTCATTTGGATATGATGATGCTGCAGTTCAGGAGTCTTTCTCCACCGAGATAGTAAGAGAATCTGAGATTCCTCCTTCAGAAGTAAAAAGTGCCACCTATGGGTTTTCCCTTCTCAAAGTGAAAATACAGGAATCTCATGTGAATTTAGATATACCAGTTAAACTATCTTCTACAGAATATATGAGTGAAACATTTGAAAGTAAAGATCACCAATCATCAGATGAAAGCCCCAAAAAAAGCAATAGAAAAGACTGGTTTTACAAAATTAACATTATCTGACAAAGGCGAAGAACTAATTGTCACTGAAGGAGCTTCTTCCACTACTACACTGACAAAGCTAAAAGCATTTACAGTGGAAGTGGAATCTTCCAGTGACTTTGCAGAGAGTCATTCAGATACACAGCCAAGAGAGACGTCTGAATCTGCTGAAGAAGTAACAGAAGAAACTAAACTAGCAGCTCCTGAAGAAGAGCCAACAGATCAGAAAGGAAAATCTGATAGCAAGAAATCTTCTGGCAGGTTTAAATTTTGGTTTCCAAATATTGGGTTTTCTTCCTCTGTTGATGACACATCCTCAGATTCCAAGCCTGAAGCTCAAAAATCATTTCCAGAAGAAAGTCAGCCTGATGACCCATCCACATCAGACAGTGACTCTGCCAAACAAACTGAAAAAACTGGATGGTTCAGATTTCCCAAGTTAGGTTTTTCATCACCAACAAAAAAGAGCACAGAAGTTGTCAAAGAAGAGAAAGATACAAAAGAAAGTACATCTCTGGATGAGGAGAGTCCAACTGAAAAATCAGAAACTTTTTTTGATGCACAAGAAACTTTACCACCTAAAGAGGTGATTCCAGAGAAAGAAGAAAGTGAAACACCAGGGACCACACTATTTGCACCCATCGTTTCCTCAGCTGCAAGAACTGAATTGATACTGCTAGAAAAAGGAAAAGTTCCATCACAAAGCTTTCCAGAACAGGCATCAAAATGAGATAGTTTCTTTACCTGTAAATTCAAATACATGCTAAAATGTGATGGAGAAAAATGCTTCTTTAAAATTCAGAAAACACATTGCCTTCTTTCCAGCCAAAGTAAAGAGTGTATTTCACAAAAATTATCTAAGAAATATTTTATATTCCAATAGTGTTTACAAGAATATTGAAATGTAGAAAAACAGCTCCTAACAAAGACATTTGCTGTGTGGGAGATGTTCATAAAGAAAGACAGACAATACTACTGATGAATGGTATCCATACTTCCAATCAAACTAACAAAGATCCTTTCTACTAATTTTCACTGAAGTGTTCTTTCTTCAAACCAATTTAAAAGAAAAAAACAGATCAAGGAACATTAACATGTTCATGTGAAAATCACAGTGATGATTTTGTTCTAGATTATTTGCAAAAGTAGTAGGAAGCTAGTGCTGGAACAATTAGAAGCATTTCCTTTTCTAGATTTTATTTTTTTAACTGTATTTCTGCTGCTATCTTATGAAAAATATATATTTTCATTACCTTAGAATGAACAGTATATTCCAAGATCATTCTGAAACATAGACCAAATTGAAAAACACTTTAATGATATATTACTTATTCTTCCTATTGCAGTCTAAGCTACAACTCAGTTTGGCTGAAGTGTCGAAAGCTGAAGCAATTACATATCCATGCTAAACATTTGCAGTGACATGCCTTTCTATAACTGCCCTAGAACGGTAATATCATAAGGCCATATTTTGCACTGTGCTGGAAGAGTTGTTAATACAACTCATCCCACGTCCTTATGTGCCCAAACAACATATTTGAAAGTTGCTTCTGAAATTTCTTTTTATTGTCAAAGCTCTTAACACCAGTATCTTAAGATCTGTATTGCAGTTTTGTGTGTTGTATGCGTGTATCTGGGTGGGTGGGTGGGGGTACAAATAATCTGTGTATACAGTAATCATAAAAAAGTATGGCCTACATTCACACCCATTCACGCAAGTTGGAGTGTATGCATCTTCTGCGAAGTGTAAGAACCAGCTTGAGTAATGCCACTGCAGAGGTTGTTTTCATGCTTTTAGAACGGAGAACCAGGGAATGAATTCTACATATGGCCACAAAGGCACACGATCAGCTACCCACAGGCCTGCAGCTGCCATGTTTCAAGTCCCAGTCTGAGTCCCAGTTTTACAATAAATATAGGATAAACACTCCTGACTGTTTACACCACCACATGATAACTTAGCATAGTGTACATATAATCACTTAAAGGGGTTGTCTATATTATGCTACCAACCTGCAAAATTTTAATGTCATCACTGCCACTACAGACTTTTTGTCAGATACAGTAGTATGGTCAAATTCTTCTTACAACTTGGAAAAACATAGAGTTGTCCTACAAAATGCCCATGTACATTCCATGGTAAATTTTCACTTCTCAACAGTCATCTATAATCATTGATTGAGAGGCTTTTACCAGTGGGTAATTCACCACAATATGAATGTAACGATTTGGTGAACCCTTCTTTGTATCCATCAACCATATGGAGAAGTTCCTAATATATCATGTACAGATATGTGGTCACATGGGCACCTGAAATCACTCAAAGTCCTCTTGTAGATGAGATTCCAATGTATTTGCTGACATGAAATCTATATAACCATTTAAAAGTTGCATTCATTGACATTGATCTTAAGACAAGGATTGTGAAATCCAACAATAGTGATAAAAAGAAACTTCTGAATCAAACTTGAGGCTCAGGACAGTGGTTCCATTGCAAGGGTTCTGATATGAATTAAAGTCAAGTCCTTCTCTAGATTGGAAACTGAGATTTAAAGACTTCAAAATGGCAGTAATAGTCAGGAGTTTAGCCTTTGGAGTATGTACAGAAGGGAGCATATGCAAGTTGTTTGAACACTTTGCTAGAGATGTAAATAGTTTTTCTTTGTCCTTTTTGGATTATATGAATGCTTCTTACAAGTAAGCAGCTTATAAGATGGTACAGAACTTTTAAACATTGTGCTTATGTACTGCAAAAATATGGAATGTATCCTGGCTTTGCTCCTGATATAAAAATAAAAGCAGTATTGTTAGCATTGGGATAATCATTCTGATGAAATAAGCTATCCTGAAGAAATACATTCTGTTAACACGGGGATGCTGCAATCTGAAAATGATGGAAAAGGCTGAAATAAATCTGTCTTTGGTTCTTAAGATGGGCTTCCCAATTTGTTTACTAAGAAATACAGTAAACAATACAGTACAGGGAGCCTTTTGCTTGGGAATCTGTATGTTGTTATTATTGTTAAACTACATTTACATCCCATGTTTTTTCCTCTTGTGAGGAACCCAAAGCACATTACACAGCTCCATTTTATTGAAAGAGTGAATGACCCAAAGTCGCCCAGTGGCCCAAGCCGCAGAACCCAGAGCTCTTGGGTCTCCAGTCTAGCACTCTAACCACTGCACCACACTGGCCCTCTAAAGGCCCAGACACACACAGGTTCTGCTGAGTTAAGCAGTCCTGTATGGTTATATCACTCTACAGATTTAAACTGCTCTCCCTCGGATGCTTTTGAGGCAGTAGAGGGCGCCAAAAATTTCTGAGGGTAGCAATGTGGGTACAGTATTCTGGAACATTTTGAATTAGGTTTTTTGCATAGGAAAATGTCCAGTTTGCACTGAAAATGGTATGATGCCCTAGAGAAATATACTCATTTTACTTGAAATTAATCTAGCAATGTTTTTAAAAAGTACCCCATGTTATTTTTTGTTCCAATACACAGCAAAGGTATTTCACCTGAAATATCTGAGGGAGAAGATTAAAGATTTAGGGAGAAATCAAGTGTGACTGCCTGTAAGCTTAAAAACCTCAGAAGGTTAGAGGTATCCAATTAAGTATAGCAGGAGTATGGAGATGAGGATTATTTCCCCACTCCCCTTGACCATAAAAACATTTTAGCCTTCTAAATGTTTTTCTCCTTCTCATGAGGAGGAGCTGAGGCACCACCTGAATTTGTTGAGAGCTGGCAGCTCACCCCTTCCTTCTCTGCCCCCTGGAATGCCCCCATTGCTTGTCCCAGACCCTTTGGAGCTTTAGCTGGTGCAGACAGAAACATGCAGTGGAGAGGATGAAGCAGAGACCATCAGAGACAGCATCCCTGCTGCAACCTTAGAAGGCTTTTCTGAGCTCACAGCAGGGGCTCCATTCTTCCTGTGGCCAGCCATACAGCAACTAGTGGCCATTGGACTGTGCCCTTAAATGTTCTATTGCGCAGAATTTTTTATGTGAATTCTTGTAAAATTTCAAAGACCATAGCATCTATTTTCTTTACAGTGTTTAAATATGGAAGCAAAAAACAAAGGTACTGCAAACTGTTGACACACTAATTGATTTCAGCAATCCAAAGAACTGCTCATGACATGCAGAAAACCACTCATCAACAAAGTTGCTTTCACCAGAGTTCAGTTTTCTTCCACCAAGGTTATTGGGGCCCCTTCCCTTGCACTGCCATTATTAGTTATTATAATTAGTTCCATTTCACTCTGAGACATAACTGTATTTCAATGACATCTAAGTACTTTCTCATATACTTGGTAGGGACAATCACCTGAAAAATATTAATTGCACCTTTGACCCTGCCAAGTCTATCTAATATTATATTTGCAATTAGCACAGATTCGTTTTTACTAATGAGCTTACACAACAGAATATTTTCTGTTGAAAAATCAAGCATTGGAAGATTTTCTGTTTTGGAAATGTCTTTGTTCCTTCTTATTGTCTAGGGGAGACACATACAGTCCCACAGAGGGGAGAAGCACAAGCAGCTGCATGGTGGCAGGACCTCTTATAAACCCTGTATAGCTTCCTGAAGGCGCCAACATCTGTTGGTGGCCTTTCTACAGTGGGATGTTAGCATTTACAGAAACAGAATCATAGCAGAGTTGAAAGGGGCCATGAAGGCCATCGGGTCCAACCCCCTGCTGTTGCAGGACACCAATTTACATCATCCCGCTCAGATGGCTGTCCAGGTTCTTTTTGAATGTCTCTAGTGTGGGAGAGCCCACCACCTCCCTAGGCAGCTGGTTCCACTGCTGCATTGCTCTGACAGTGAGGAAACTTCCTAAGGTCTAGCTTGAACCTGGGTTGTCACAACTTGACTGGATTATTCCATGTCCTACACTCTGGTATCAGCGAGAAGCATAAAAGTGGCATTTTTCAACCAGAGGTGGCAAATTCTTCTGGATCCATTTATATGAAACCCAAAAGTAGCAAATGTGGTGAACTGAAGGAAGGTGATTCTGTCCTGTCCCTCAGACCAGGTGTAACTGGGGAAGGTCATTGCTCCTGTTCTAGCAGAATTATCTGCCGTCAAGGAGGCAAGAGCTTTTATCCTTAACTGACTGTTCTTGGCTTGCCTTTAACCATTCTGGCCCATACTTGGAGATCTTACATATTCTAAAACCCTGTTCAGACATTTACCTGAATGTGTGAACAGGAGAAGGGGCCGAGGCCAGGTATGCTGGCCTCATCCTCACCCCTGCAGCCCCACATGAGAGCAGTACTTGATTTCCCTTGCAGTCACTTGAACACAATGCAGCAGGATCCTGACTTGTGCAGAGAGTTCAACTCACATTCAAAAGCACCCCTTTCAGCCTTGCCCCTCAACATAGCAAGATCAGGAACAGAGAGGACAAGGGCTAGCCTGCAGGAGACAAATGGCTTCCTACCCAACTTAAGCTGAACAGGGCTTAAAAATAAACCATTCTCAGGTACTGTGGGGAGCCCAAACTAAACATGAGGTGAAACACATCAGCATCTATCTCATCTTGCCACTTCCTTTTTAAAATCTCATTCATGGAGGCCAGAGCCAAGTTAGTATCATTCCCATGGCATGACTTCCCCAGTCAAAAATCCTTTCTCCTCCTTCACAACTGAAGCTGCTCTTTGTGCCTCCACAAGGCCATTTTCTGCTATGGCACCTCCTGGGGCACATAAATCTGACGAGGGGAAGGAACTTTGCAGGAGGAAGAATTAACACACTTCCCTCTGTACCATGGCGTCATTGCAGACAGAAGGAGAAACTCTTCTGTTATGTTAAAGGCCTTGCTCCCTGTCTTGAACCATGAGAACCTGAAGAAAGAATTTTGGCCCTCAAATGAAGTATTTGTTTGTTTGTTTGTTTCTATGCTGCCCCATAGCTGAAGCTCTCTAAGCAGTTTACAACAAGGTATGATTGTAGCTCAGGGAACAATCAACGATGCAGTGTCTTGGCAAGAGGCCTTGCACAAAAAATATAGGCATTAACATGTATGTTGTAACTACTTCTGAGAAGCATCTGCTAAGCCTGTGGCATCTAAGGAAAGAAAGTTAACCCCTCACAGCCCCTGACAAAGAACACTGCATGAAGCATACATGTTTTTCAAAGTGTAAGGCAATTTTTATAAATTCCTTACTTCAGGGACTTTCCAGACATCAAAACCTGCCGCTAAGGCCCAAATGGCCCTGGAAATCACAGTGAACATTGGCCTAACAAACAGTTTTTGACCACATCAGGCAGTGGGTGCAGTGTCTTTAGTAATCTAGGACAAAATGCCACAATCATATAATATACTTTCTGTGCCATTTTAAATCAATTTTCAGTAATTCAGCACACAAATATAAAAATGTTCCATGCACATTTAAGACATGGAAACAAGCAATACGTAATGAACATATTTTTGAGTATATTACTGAGTTCTTATTCACAATTATATTATAGTCTGTATTTAAAGGATGCAACTGGATGAAAAGGCCTGACGGAAAGGACCTTTGTAGGGATTAGGGTTAGGTTTAGGGTTAACTCACATTAAAGTACCGCTGTCTGTTTTCCTGTCCCCCGTGCTCCACCACAGCTCATCGCATGCCGCAAGGTCTCCTGACAAACTGTGCCTATTCACATGTAACACTAAGCTACCATGGGTTCATTACATGTTGTTCCAGGGTTATCCGATGGTTGTTTAACCTTCACAGAACCCACCATGCTCAGGTGTGCAAGACACAACATGCCATGGCACTTGCCTGTTGAAGCTTAAATAATCAAAATGGAAGCCAACACATGCTGCAACCCACCATGACTCTCCAGCTCTTATTAGACCTCAGCTCCCACCCCAGGTGCTTCTTGTGCACTATTCTGTTCCTCCCCTTTGTCCTCCCTTGTCATGCAGGAAACAGGCACGACTGCCATGAAAAAGAAAAGAAGAAAATACCCAGTCCTTTTGATGGTGGTTGTGAGCTTTAAACTTAGGGAGACTGATGGAGGGCATTCCCCATATGTGCTGTAGTCCAGAGGTGCAGTATCAGAACTGGATTCAGTTTTTGAGAAACTCTCCAAGGCTTTCTGTGGTGTGTGAGGCCAGAAGCAGAAGCTGTAGGCCCAAATGGCATTAAAAAATCCTGCATATCTTTTGCTTAAATCTATTACTGCTAGTAACTAAACTTTAGGAGGAGCATCCTGGGCGGTTAAAATAGAGAAACTTCACAAAAGCCAAGAAATAATCAGGGCAAGAGGTCCCAGCATCAGAGGAAGGCTGGATTTGGCCCAGAGGCTTGAAGTTTTGCACCTCGGCTGTGATCCATTAAAGGCTTTTTTTTTACCTTAAGGAAAGTTATTTTTATTTATATCAAGTATTTCTACACTGACTTTTAGAGCTAAGTTCTCTCAAGGTGTATATATAAAAAGGAACAAAACATAGTTCCAGTCAGATACATGCAAATTAATCCAGCAGTCTTTTGGAAAAGACCAGCATTGCATTCTTTTAAATTAATTTACATAGCTGAAAGAACAATTTTTAAAACCAACAGTCAAAACTCAGCAGGAAATGGCCAGCACAGCATTGTATTTAAAAGCAGCTTGGAATAAAAGGGTTTTCATGGTCAATTGAAAAGGCAGCAGTAACAGGGCCAACCTCATAACCCTTCCACAAAAATGGAGGCACCACCCAAACAAAGCCCTCTGTTTAGAGCCCACCAATCTGAGTCACCTTAAAGATGAGCCCGCAATTATGGGTCTCTTTGGTCAGACTTAAGGTCTCGACATGTTCATATAGGTGAAACAGTCCTTCAAATGGCCCAGAATCATTAAGGGTTTTATCTGTACCTGAGATTAGGCCCTAAATCCAGCAGTATCCAGCAAAACTAGAACAAAATTAATGTAACGTATTTCAGCCACCTGACTCAAACCAGCATCTAGCCAACTGGATCCTGTAGCATTAAAAGGGTCTGATCTGTCATTAAGGGTGGTGCTGGTGCATGATTGCTCTGTGTCATGGCAATTTTTCCAGAGAGTCCCAGAGGGTTTTATTCCCTAGGCTATTTAACTTCTACATGAAACAGCTGCAGGGGAGGGAGGTTCTCCAGAGGTATGGGCTGAGGTGTCACCAGTACGTGGATAACATTCAGCTAGACTCGTCTTTTTCATCAAACCCAGATGAGGCAGTGGCCACTGTGAATCAGTGTCTGAGCATGGTAATGGATTAGATGCGGGATAACACACTGAGGCTCAATCCAAACAAGATGGAGGTGCTGTAAGTAGGTGGTTCGTCTGCAGTGATTTGGGTGATATTCAACCTGTTCTGAATGGTGTTACACTCCCCCTAAAGAACAAGATTTGTAGTTTGTGGGTGTTCCTGGGCCCAAAGTGACCACTTCAGGCACAAGAGGACTCTGCAGCACAAAGCACCGCCTATCAGCTTCAGCTGATATACCAACTGCGACCCTCCCTGGACAGAGAGAGTCTAGCTATTGTCATCCAGGCTCTGGTAACATCGCATTTGGATTGCTGCAGTGCACTGAATGTGGGGCTGCCTTTGAAAATGGTCCGGAAGCTTCAGCTGATCCAAAACAGGGCAGCAAGACTGTGAATGGGGACTCATTACATCAGCCCTTTTCCTGCTACATTGGCTGCTGGTTAAAGTCTGGGCTCAATTCAAAGTACTAGTACTAACATTTAAAGCCCCAAACAGCTTGCAGTCAGGTTATCTTCTCCCGTATGTGTCTACCCAGACCCTGAGATCGGTTTCAGGGGTCCTTCTCCAGGAGCTGCTTCCAAAGGAAGTAAAGCAGGTGGCTACAAGGAGGATGGACTTTTTGGTTGCGGCACCCCAGCTTTAGAATGGGCTCCAGAAAGAGGTGGCACCTATTTTGTATTCCTTTTGGCACAAGGTGAAGACCTTTTTGTTTTCCCAGCATTTTAACAATCTGACCTTTTAACTTTGTTTTTATATATCCCGTTTTATTTTGTACCATTGCTGCACTTCTGTGTTGAATAATAGCAATTGCATTTGCAATTATACTTTGCTTTTGTGAGTGTCCTTTTAAACTTTTTCTTAATTTTAACTTTTGTTAACCATCAGGGAGCTTCAGCTATTAGGCAGTATAAAAATGAATTAAATAAATAAAGGCAACTGCACATGGTGCATTCTATAGGCACTGGTTCCCTTAGGTGAATTCTAGTGTGCCCATTTTGGCTGATCATCAAGAAGGACACAGACTCATTTGATGGGCTTTGGCGAACTAATCTCCTTAGCTCCCCATCTTTAAAGGGAAATTACAGTGAATTGATGCAAGAATGAATGCTGTTAACCACTTTATACAGGGGACTGGAATACAGAAGGTCACTCAGATTTAATTAGATTGACAAATCCTGCAGGGGTGGGGATGCACTTACTTCAGAGTAAGGTTTTTTGTTTTGTTTTGTTTTTAAAGTGGGGCAACTGCATGCAGTCTATTTAAATATAACATACAATTTAAGTCAATTCAGACCAAAGAACACTGGGCGGGTTATAAAGCACAGCCTTTACTATTTAAAAAATAGCTGAGTCAAGCAGGCCATACTTTTCTCAAACATTGCCACCTTGTGGCATTTTGCAAATGCAACAAATTGTTTAGCCAAGTTGCATAACCGTTTTGTGATCTCCAGACAGCCATTTGTGACTGTTCATCACTGGGTATTTGTAGAATTCCACCGCAGTAGAACTAAAAGAAGAATTTCACTTACCCCTCCTTGGTACTTATTCCTTTGAGTTTGTTTGCCTTAAAATCATCGTTTTAAAAGCACACAAGAAAAGGCACACCACGCTACAGAATGGCACTCATCTTCAAGAGAGAATGCCAGGAATCAAGTGTTCCTTGCACAGGGTGGCAGCCAAAGCACAATTCTCCTTTTAAAAGTCTTCTATCTGGCCCTCCCCCACTCCAAATGTTAGATGTAAGTTGCAAAAAGTAATTTGGGAACTAATACCTCTTTAATCAAAGTTTGAAATTCCCATTATCAAACAAATGTGAGACAGAGATCCTGCATCTGACATGCAGAAATCTGAATTTCCATCTACAACAAAACAATTCAGTATTCTTTCAAAGTTGTAAAGCCATGTTGCCAAGCACAGTCCTTCTGCCCAGGCAGTTCCTCCATATTTACTGAGTATTTGGAATTCCAATCTCGTTCAAAAAGAGACCTCAGTTGTTCCTGTATTAATGAATTCCTCTTTTGAGTATCTGTTGAAGACTGTGCGGCAATCAGTCCCACACCTGCAGTGATACTGAAGTATTCTTCAGCCCAGTTAGAAGTCCCTGAAGATGGCAGAAAATGCAGAGTGTGAATAAAAAGAGTATGATTGTCATTGACCTCATCATGCACAAAAAGGCAAAGCTCCTTATGGCAAATAAGTGAGAGTTCTGACTTCACTAACCTGAAATGAGTATTCTGAGCAGGGCCAGTTGAAGTGAAGCAGTCGAATGCAGTAGTGAGTGGGGGAAGAAACGTGTGTGTGTGTTTCTGTGGAAAACATACTGATCAGGGCTGACTGTACCCTGAGGCAGGATGAAGCAGTCACTCAGGCAGCAGAGGCTAAGGGGTGGCAAGGTGTCGGAGGTCAGAGGTGTGGAGCCACCTATTCTGCTTGGTATCCCCTAAGCCAGTGGTTTTCAACCACCAGTCCGTGGCCCAGCACTGGTCCACAGGAGGTTTCCTGCTGGTCCATGGGGGGCTGTACCCTGCTCGCCATGGACTGGCACAGGAGCTGGCTGTGCTCCACCACCTCTTCCTCAATTGGCATCCCATTCACGGGGGGTGCACCGGTGCCACCAGAGGGCCAGGGGAGGGGGGGAAACAACTCAGTGGGAGTTGACTGTGAGCCACGCTGTGCCGATTACAGTATTTTGTTCCTTTGTTGGCATATTTTGCTGCTCGGTTTCTGGTTGTTTTGGAGAATTTTCAATTTTTTGGCATCGTGTTTGGAAACTAATACAAATACCGCATTATGTGTACAGTGCTTTTTGTTTCTGACTCAGCGGTCCCCGGGGTGGTTTTCCATGTTTTGCTGGTCCCCAGCTGTGGAAAGGTTGAAAACCACTACCCTAAGCCAACCTGTCACTCTTGGATGTAAATGGGGGGGGGGGTTCTGCCCCATTGCCGTGGTTGAAGTAAAGCTCAGGTCTTGGTCTGGTTAGCTTCTGCATATGGAATCCAGTAAGTAGCCACCTTACTTCACCTCAGGCAGCAAAAGGTCTTAGGTTGGCCCTGATAGTATATTAATATAATATATATCTATATTTACATCCCACCTTTTTCCTGCAAGGAATCTAAAGGAGCTTACATAATCATCCACCTCTCCCTTTTATCCTCATGACAACCCTGAGTCAATGACTGGCCCAAAGTCTGGCCCTGAGTTGGTTAGGCCAAGAGTCAATGACTGGCCCAGTCACCTTCGTGACCAGGTGGGAACCTGACCCCACGTTTTGCGAGCCCCAGTCCAACACTTCAAATAGAGGGCTGTCCTCTGTAGGAGCACAGGCCCCTGAAAGGGTCTGGTGCCCAGCAACAATGCTTACCGATATAAGCTGTCTTGTCAGTCACCATGTATTTGTTGTGATTCAGCCTTGCAAAAGGAATGTTTGTGTGATTCCCAACTGGAACAATGAAGATTTTCTGGTGAGAAGTAAATATAAAACATAGCAAAAATGAGCAAGAATTAAACACTTTGTGTCTTTTTACAATTGTTCAAATTGTCTGTATTTTCAAATGGTGGAATATAAATTACAGCAGAGTATTTTTCAGATCAAATTAAATGTGCATCTCCTCATGCATTAGTGAAGGTGCTCCAGGAGGGGAGGGGTGTTAAACATTGCCTCACGCAACATGTTTTCATCCTGAAATGTCTTCCTCCCAACTCCAGCAGAACAAAGCCAGGAATTGAGGTTTTTTCCTCTTATTTCAATATCTGTCCCACTGGGGGCAGGAGTTTTAGGATGAAATAGGCATCAGAAATTTAAGCTACATGCTGCTGGGGCACCATGACCCCTCAAAACCAAGTCTGTGCTCACGTGCACGAAAGTAAATAAAACTCAACTTGTGTAATTAAGCCAAAGTCTATTTTGGCCCTTATAGACTAAGCTACACTAGGCTGATGGTATTTTAAAATAGTCTGCAGTTTTCTGGTACATCAACCAACAAAGAAAGCATACTCCTAAAAGCAATAATAGTAACTAGCATTTAACTGTTTCCACTGGGAGAGTGATGTTAATCTCTACTGCAGCAAAAGCAACCTCAGGGCGCCATCTTATCCAGAGGAGTAGGAGCCTTCAAAGCTCATGCAGAGCTGAAGCGGTGGAGGAGGTGATCTTTGCCCGCCCCTCCTGCTCTGCTATTTCACTAGGCAGTCATTTTCTCGGAGAGGAAGGGAAGGAGGCTGGGGTGGCTTTAGGGTGGCGTTATCGGTCTTTTCCCCTGCGCCCCCCTCCCACCTCTTTCACAGCTCTCCAAGGTTGCTTTCTCAGCCAGGGATTGCTCCCAGTGTAATTCTTTCTGTGCTGGCTGTGAGTGGTGGAGGGAGGAGACGGAGTTCTGATTCCCAGCGTCAAGGGTGGAGAGCTGGCTCCAGCCTCGGAGCTGCAAATCTGAACTGTCCTACTGTTCTGACAACATCCAGGAACCACAGACCCATTCCTTCCAAGACTCTTGCAGCACTGCTAAGAGTAACACATTAAATTTAATATATGGGCAGGGTCTGCTTTTTTGAATTCATGGTGGGAAAAGAAGTAAAACTCAGAAAAAGCCCTTAAACCCTCTCAAAGGACATATTTCCTATTCACTTCTCCATAGAAGGGAAGTGACATGAGCCCAAAAGCATGTTTGAATTACCACTTCTATTGTGATGTTGGAGTGTGGATCATTGAGAACACTCAGTGACTTCAGGTAATGAAACATGGAAGGATCTGTATGGATCCAACAGTTGATCAAAAGCCGTAGGTGTATTTTATGGCTGAACGCCACACTTCTCAGAGCATTGTCAATAGGTGGCCAGTATCTGAAAGAATAACAGTGTAATATAAGCAATGTGGCGCTTTGTATGTATGCTGAGCACCTTTCTTTGGGCTTTCTACTCCATCCAAATCACAGAGGGGGAATAGCACGATTGGAAGGAGTTACTGGGCTTTTCTACATGAGGCTATTAATCTGCAGTATCTACTTTTGGTTGGCTACAGAACTAAGATGTGAGCACTAAGCAAAGAGCATTTCTTTTCCCACAGTTTCATTATATAATCTGTTCTACAGCAGAATAGTGATGGAAAACACAGGTACTTTTGCTTTGGTAAATAATAAACTAGGCAGAGCATTGGCTACAGAACAATATAGAAATGAAATTGCTACTGCTGCAGCAGCTGCGGCTACTACTACTAATAATAATACCATAATTTCCCTGGTCAAAAATAATCTTATTGAAAATTTTCTTGAAAAACAGAAGTGAAAATGGAGATCGATGACATAGTCTAAAGAACCCAGAAACAATTCTGAGGAAATGAGCACACCAAAACTGCCTCCTGCAGAAAAGCTCACTTTCATTTCCCCAGCCTTTTGGTGCTATTTGTCTGTGAATATAACAGCATTAATATCCCACTATCCTTTCTAAGATGAAAAATATTTCCCTTCTACAGGGCAACAGCATATTGTGGGTAACTTTGAGCAGTCCAGGGGCATTTTTTAGGACCCATGGAATACTGGCAGAGGTGAACTTAGAGATAGTTCTCACAGAGACGGTAAACAGGTGTCAGCACTGCATTTCATGAAGCAAATCTCCACTCATAAAAAATATTTAGAACAAAATGCCAGAGAGAAGTGTTCTAGTCACACATTCATCCCGACATGCTAGTTTTCAGTGTGCAGGGATGGTTATGTTAATTTGTAGATCATTCATTGTAAGCCAGTAGCCACAGTCTGAAGAAGTATGATCCAGACACAATTTTGCCACCTCAATAAGACCGCGGCCCTTGTAATTCAAATGCTGGGGAGTGAATGGGGGGAACAGTCCATAAAACCAATTGGTATTCAGATAATTATATTGAAAAGTGGATACATTCAGGCTTAACCTGATACCTTTGTGGGTGACTGAAGTGAGTTGTTGGGAAATATGCCATAAGAGAGACATACACAAATTCTTCTGCATCATAGATAACATCAAGAATTGCCATAAGATCAAAGGTGCGGCCTTCTGGGCAAAATGAAAAAGGAGAAGCCTAGATAAAAGAAAAGTTTAATTACTACAGCATCAAGTACTCTATTCACAAGTTTATTCAATAAGAATAATGGATTCCTGCTGCAAAAGGTTATTCTGTGCTTTCAAATTAACATTTGCTGTTCAAGGTACATTCCCACAGGAAGCAAACTGAGCATTTCTGAGCAAACATGCTTAGGATTGAACTATAAAGTCTACTTACAGAAAAATATGTCTTGGTGGAGGTTCCATTGAACTGCACTTCTAATGGTCTGTGCCTGTTAATATTGGTAGAATAATTATTTGGCCATGGAGATGGGATTGTGGCATTGTGTTCTCCAAGATCCCAGTATGTTTTGAAAGTTTTCCAGAGGTCATTGCCTAAGCAGCTGCAATTTGTGATCAAAACGCCAAGTTCTTTCACCTATACAAGGAGAAAAGCTGTAGAGTAACATTTCAAAGCAAACATGTATTATCATTTACACCCTAAAGCTGGTGTCCCAAATATTTTTGGGCTGGTAGACACAATTGGAATTTTGAGAGTGCCATGGGCTTGACCATTCATAAAATGGGTACCACAGCAGGCACAGCCAGTTACAAACACTCATTTCCTCACAGGCAAACTAAAAGAAAAGTAACCATCCTAAGAACTTCCATGCAAGGCAGAGGTGGGCTCTGAGATACAAAACACAAACTGAACCCACATAAAGATGAGAGTGGTGGTTCATTTTGTGATGTGCAAAATGTTAAGACTTTTTTAAAATCTTAAAAAATGAAATAAAAACCAGTGGGCAAGGGGGTTGGTGGAGGCTTCCATTCAGTTGGAGGCTTCAGATGTACTACAATTACTTAAATAGCGACTGTTAAGGCATGGAAAGAACCAGCTCAGTGGCAGAGCACAAGCTTTGGATACTGAAGATTTCCTCATGTCTCTTGGTAAAGCTGGAAAAACTTCTGCCTGAAATCATGGAAAGCCAGTTGTACTGGGCTTATATGGATGAAGTGTCTAGTTCATCATTAGTATGAATTTCATTCTTATACCACTCCATAGCCAAGGTCTCTGGGCTTAGTATAAAGCAGCAGTTTCTTCTCTTAGAAATAGAAATAATAAACAAATCTATTTTCATCTCAGGATATGGACTCTGCACTTTAATATTCTCCCATAATAGAATAATCAATCATAATAGGATTGTTCTTGCAATTTTCAATACAAATTCAGTCAATTCCTTTTGTATTGTCCAAGCAGTCTTTTTCTTTCCTTCAACTTCCTATCCTCAAATCTCTCACCTGAGTCAGGGCCCTCCAGTCTACATTGGCACTTCCAAGAAAGATGTGTTTCCTGTCTACAATCCAGAATTTGGTATGCAGGACACCATGGGTCAGCTGCCCAAAATTAATCCTTTTTACATGAGCTCCTGTGCAAAAGAAAAAAGCTAAGCCAAACAATTGTTTTGCATACCCTCGACTTGCAACCCACATTTGACTTACTACCAATCTCCAAACACTGAAACTAAACAAATTTGCCAAAGTCCTTTAGATCTGTTCTGGTGGTACAGAGGTATGTGAGGTTGCTAGTCTCATTTGTGTCCTGGCTGATGCTCATGCAAAAACTAGAATAGCACAGAGTCTGAGTGTATGAGCCAAATGCTTTCAGTCCAAACATTATCTCATTCTCCTGGCTGTAAATCAGGGACAATTAATCTTTTTCAGCCCAGAAGCTGAATGCCAATTTGGGAAGGGTCTCAGGGGCTGCGTTTGAGCCAAGGGCACATGGCAAGGCCAAAAATGTGATTCTTACCAATTTGAACATTGTCCGACCAAGCATACAATCCACAGCCTAATTTTTTGCATGCCCACTTGAACATAAGCCCCACTGCAACAGCTTTTAGGACTGTAAAGCACCCTTCAATTTGATTCATTTTATTTAAAAGTTAATTGCCTTTGAATAGCTTCTTAACAGCAGAAGAAACCTGCCAGATTCAAAGGCCAAATTCACCTGGAGTTTCCCCATCCTATCTGAAAATGCTTCTGGGTCAGGTCTGAGGCTTTGCCACAGTAGCAGATCTGCCAGAGTCAGACTTTATCTGTTTGGCCCTATCAATAATTTGCAAAATCTGCACTCCTCGGCACTCTTATCTATGTTCCAGTCTCTCTTATTTGCCTGCTTTCTTATGTCTTCTCTCTTGCCTAGCAATTCTGCAGCTGCTGTTCTTTCCAGGTTCCAGTCCATTTCTGCACACAGGCTGGGCCTCAGGTTTGGAATGCTCAGGAGCCATATTTGGTCCCCTCTCTACCCACTTTGCTCTTTAACAAGCCTTCATGCTTAATTCTGGCTCCTTATGTGATTTTTATTTTATTATTTTATTTTATTGCTTCTGAACTGTGGGTAATTATTTTATCTGGTTTTTGTTTTGCTATGTGAATAGAACAATCGTATGACCTTTTTATTTAAACATCATTTTAATTGTAAAAATATATGATCTGGCCAGGGCAACTTCTTCTTCCTTCTCTTTTCTCCTCCTATATTCTTTATTTACTTATTTTATACTGTTAATTTTAATTTTATATTATTGTATCTCAGTGTATTTTTTGTATTTTTGTATTTAGTGGTAATTTATTATGTTCTATTGTATTTCAATGTATCTTATTGTGTTGTAAGCCACCCCTTGCCGAAGCCTCGGGGCGGCTTAC